CTGGACAACAGCACTGCAAAGAGAAGGAAAACTTGAAACAAACCATATACCAACCCGTCTCGCCAGCGTGGTATAGTAAGCCAAAACCTCCTTTCTAAGGGGAGGCCTATGCCACTTCAAGTAATGTTCATTAATAATTTTCTTGATAATAGTTAAAATTTTGTTACCTATATGAACAGGAGAAATAGAAGTCCTTCTTCGTCTTGTCTACGCCCTTCGTGTTTAGGTCTTGTTTTATTTGCAAAAGGGGAAGAAACAGTTCCAATATACAAGTAGTCTGTTATCCCTTTACTCATAACTTTTTTTTTTTTTTTTTATTTATTTATTTATATGACACACAATACAACGTCAATACACACACACATTACGTCACATACACACACATACACACACACATACAATACACACATTACGTCTAAAACGCTCGTTTTTAGGGTCATCAGATTTTGTTTAATCTTTTTTTCCGTCTTGATAATGGAAGTTCGATTAACCGTCGTATTGAGCACCAATTTTATGTAGTCTAACTTAAATCAAAAACATTTCTTTAACTAACATGCTCACCTCAATAACGAGTGTATAATTCCTGATATTATATATCGATGCAAGTCGAGAAAGTAATACATTGAATGGTGCAGTGTAAAAGTAGGAAATCGGTGCCAGTTTGGCGTGAGTTCCGAGTGTTTCAAACTAAGTAATCTTGTACTTGGCTTATATTGCTTGACTTTCTTACCGGTTCTGTCTAACTATGGATGCAGACTTAGGAACTATGATGTGTTTAGGTATATCTCACATCACAATAGCCTTTAATAGTCCACTGCTGAACATAGGCCTCTCCTTAGAAAGGAGGTTTTGGCCTACTATACCACGCTGGCCAGACGGGTTGGTATAAGGTTTGTGTCAAGTTTTTGTTTTGCGCCCTTAGTCGGCTCTTACGAGAATTAGAATTGGGGTAGTGACATTCCGTAATCTTAATCCGTCACTACACGGATATATCTCACTTGAGATCTAAAATAAAAAAATTTAACGACCGAGTTGGTCTAGTGGTTAGTGTTTCTGACTGCAAAGATTAGGGATGGCATAAAATCACAATCACCTGTGATAAGCCATATGATTTATAAATCATATCATCACACCAGCGACTGATTTACAAAACAACAGCTACTTAATTATTATTATTACGCTAGCGCAAGACTTGCGAAAGGTCTAAACTCTGAAAAAAAATTGATAAAAAGAATTTTGATTGTGTGATTTATCTTTGTCTATGACGGAATCACAATTACATGTGAAATCGCTGTGACTAAAATCAATCATTTCATCAAATGGATAAGATTAAAAAGTAGCAATAATTTCCATGTCTACTAGAGGTAGTTTCGATTCCCACCCAGGACCAATAATTGTGTGATGAACACGATTACTTGTTTTGTATCTGGGTGTTATTTAATTATAATATTTATGTATTTTAAATTATTAAAGTATGTTTATCAGTAGTCTGGTTACCAAAGCACCAAAGCACAATACGTCTATCTCTGCCTAGTTTGAGATCGGATAGACGTATGTATGGGGGAATCGAACCCAAGACCTTAGCAAGCAAGACGAGACGTCTTGGTAATATGTTACATGAAAATGTTTTGGTGGGCTCTTTTATACCAGTACGGCATTAATTTCACAAAGTTTTATTTATTGTACTATACATATTGAATACTTGATAACAATCCAGTTTTTCTAAAACCTAAACAAATTGAGTATTGATTGACATTTTGAGTTATCGTGTGATGTTTCAGCAATTACTTCCACAAATACTGTTACGCGAGAGATAATTTAACGCAAATAGCGAGGCTTAACTTCAATTGAAATTGTGACGCTTTTATTGAACTGTCTAGTAGAGCTAAAGCAATTTAATTTCTTTAATACTCATATATTTAAAGTAAAATATATTAAAAACATAACTGATTAACTAAACGTCACTCTTGTACCTGTACATACATACGAATTTATGATTTCATTACGAGTATATGTCCTTATCCAAGGGGCATCTCCGATCCTGGCCTCTTCGTGGTACTACGGTCTCAGTCCTAACTCCCATTCAAGACTTGTGGTATTCTTACCCTAGTTCCTCTCTTTTAATTTTTCTTGCCCAAATTTAGCAGACCTTCCAGTCTTAAAAGTTCTTAAAAATTACACAGACAGCATGGAATAAGGAATAGTTTCTGTATGACACCCCGTTTGCAATATTACACATTGTACTAAACTCAAATAAATTTGACAGAACTGCACAATATCTACTTACCTGAAAACAGACGTTTTTTATTTTTTTTGTGTTTAACGTGCTTCTAAATGTTTTCTAAAGGCGAGATACTTTTTTTGAAATAGGTAATTTTAGTTAGCTAAACTGGATGCTCAATTGTTAACATACATCAGAGAATTAACTTAAAATTATATCGATGATTTTAAATATATTCATGTTAAATGACGCTGACGGGAACAAAATGCTTATCTATACCGAATCCCATAAGAGAAAAAACTCAATTTGCAAAATACGTACTCGTTCGAAATTGAGTAGCTTTCTGAACCCACGTCGTCTTTGCTAATCAAACCCTGGCTCCCAAAAGTAAGACTATTCTGACGACATCACATCCAACCTTTAGTTTAGATATCTAGGGATTCCAAACAAATAAAAAGCATGACGGTATTAAACCACAAATCCCTTGAGGTACCAAAAACCAATCAGATTTACAGAAACGCTTCCCATATTCAACACGAGTGAATGAACATTACACCGGCAGGGAGAAATTAAATTAAGGTCTTTGTACTGACGCAATAGATTAAACCACTAATATCACAGTTATGTTCCCTGTGGGTGGTGCCGTATATGGAATTATACCTACATTTGACGGTGTTTGGAAGTAACATGAGATAGGTTTAACAATAGGGACAAAGGACATTCAAATGTTATGTTCATCAAGTTGACATGTAATTCCAATATCTGCGAGGCTGGCAACGCCTCCTTCCAAAGGAGAGGCCTATGTCCAGCAGTGGACTAGTAAAGGCTGTTGATGATGATGATGATGGCAACGCGCTTGTGACTCCTGAGTTGTAGGCGTTCATGAGCGGGGGTAGTCGTTTTCAATCAGGTTACCCGTTCGCTCGTTTGCCCCCTATTCCATAAAAAAAATCTGCTCATTATCAATAAGTTTCTCCCATGATAAATACACATATTTTGTTTATTATTTTTTAGTTGTGACTTACCTAAGTATTAATCTATACAAATAAATAAAATTAGAGTGTCTGTTTGTAATATTAAAATAACCGCTTTTTACTAAATGCATATGTATGTTTACACGGTACATATGCCAAAATAACATTTTTTTCAATTTTTGTCTGTCCGTCTGTCTGTCTGTCTGTTTGTTCCGGGTAATCTCTGGAACGGTTGGACCGATTTTGACGGGCAGATAGCTGATGACATAAGGAGTAACTTAGGCTACTTTGTTTAGACTAGCTTCGCCCCGCGGCGTTGCCCGCGGTTATAACAACAAACGCGGGTAACACCGCGGGTCTCAGCTAGTATACAAATAAGTTGTCTATAAGAGATCGCAGACTGCGATAAGACCGCCTCTTGTATGTACAGTTTCTTAACAGATTTTCAGATTTTACAACACTTTTTTATATGCAGTAAAGAATATCCATCTACCTATATGCTACATATAATTAGACTAAGTAGGCTCATTTTAAAAATGCTTTTACTGTAGCAAACTGAGTAACATCAGGTTCTTTATTCATCAATTTAGTTAGCTAAACTATGACTGCACGGATTGAGTAGTGTTTTACGCGGTCGCCACGCTGCTTCCTACTACGCTGAGTGTTATGGTGTCCCCACATGGAACTACACTTTATGTGGTCCATAAATTGTCGTTCTGAGTCTGTGTGTTCTTTGTGTCCATTTCATGTTTATTTGTAAAGTCCCCCGCGACACAGGGAATTGTCTTTAAAAAAAAAACAAAAACAAATTCTCGCTCGGGTCATTGCAAAGTCGTCATTAAACAGCTTAACTTTGGGGATTCTACTTAACAGAATCATCATCATCAACATCCTTTAATAGTCCACTGCTTGACCTAGGCTTCTCTTTAGAAAGGATATTTATTTAACAGAATTAGTCAGTGTGTTTTCTCCTAAACAAGAATCTGCTGTGGCAAAGGAAAGTGTCGATTATCCAGCAAATATTCGTATGATAACATTATACTTTCTCCAAATGATCCAATTACCAACGTACTTAATTTTACTGCTCCCTCATTGTTGACAGTATAACGTGTGTCTTACATGCTAAAATAGGTTAATTATCTCAACTTTAGTGTTTTACGTTAAGAGCGAGTATATGTTCTGTATTTTCTTAAGATCATCAACCATCTAGAAGTATATAGAATTATATTAATATTACTAATCTGAAGAGGTTGTTTAATTGAGCGCGATAATCTCTTTGACGATCGGATGGTTTAGTGGTTTGTGTAACTGACTGCCATTCCAAAGATCGCGGGTTCGATTCCCGCTCAAGTCTAACATTTGTGTGCATGAACATTTAATGTTTGATTTGGTCTGGGTGTTTCTATGTATAAGTATAAGTACGTATTTACAAAATGTATTTATATCAGTTGTCTAGTACCCATAGTACAAGCTCTGCTTAGTTTGGGACTAGATGGCGTTGTGTGACTGTGGTAAAAAAAAAAAAAAACTACTGTTGGTTTGAATTGATTTTTTTTTTAGTACTGGATAGCTCCTAACGAGACACTAACGAAGAGGCACTGGTCAGCTAGTAACTTATAATTTTATTGTTAATTGTAATAATAATGATTTCAAGAAAATACATTATGAGATTTCCGTCACTTATTGAAGGTTTTGATGACTCATCAATCTTGATTGTTCAATGATTGTGTAAATGTCTTATGTGCTAATTGTAAACAATAAAGATATAAATAAATAAATGTTTTTGTCTTTCCAGGTGATTCAAAATGTTAGGGCAAGCTCGATGGCTGATGTTAGTGATAGCTGCAGGCCTCACGCTGCAGTCGAGAGGTGATGGTGGCATCAGACTCCCTGATCAGCCCCCGAAACAAGAAGGCCATTCTGAAGGAAGATCATTGAGTTTTGGAGATGAAAATTCCAGATCGGTAAGTTATCCATAAACTAATGTAAATAGTGTGATTAGTCAGCTTCCACTAGTTTTAGTTTAATCACATCATCACATCAGAGTGTAAGCATAGCTAGAGGAGGTTATCATCATGATTATCAACAGCCTTTAGTAGTCACCTGCTCGACATATGCCTCTCCTTAGAAAGGAGATTTGGCCTACTATACCACGCTGGCCAGACGAGTTGGTACAGGGTTTGTTTCAAGTTATCCTTCTCTTTGCAGTGCTGTTATTCTCTATAATTTGAATTGACTGTTGCCGGGAAATGCAAGTCCTTTAACCAGGCTTTATTCTGTATCAATCGAATTTTCCATTCCAGCCTCAAGCCTCAGGCCGTGGTCTCCTGGACTGGATAGGTTTGGGCGAAGACCAAGACCCTTATATTCAGCAATCAACCCAACAGTGCATCCAAGGTGACCTGGCCGATTGTTTCAAGGCACAGGCTTTGCGGTCATTTGATGACTTCTTTGATAAGCCGTCTTATGCGTAAGTAGATTTATTATTCTTTAAGTTAAAGCTAAGATAATATAAATGATCAGTTAATCTTACTATAAAAGTATATAAACTTAGAAAATAAGCAATCATTATTTGTAAAAGAAGTAAAGAGAAGAATCATAAATCGCATCTAATCGAGAAAAGAATTCACAATGAATTTTAAATTTTTCAGTTTATCAGAAAATGCTGTTCTCGTTAAAGTTGAAAGTCAAGCCCGCGCGTTACTCCGCGAACCTCCTACACTGGAGTCGCAACCCAGGAGTGAGGACTCCGACTGGGAGGCACTTGTGAAATATGGCATGAGGAAAATTGAAAGGTAATCATTTTTTTTCTATTTAGCTATCTTTTTTTATAAATAATTTATTTTAAATACAGACCACTTTATTTCACCGACTTCAATATCTCTAGATCAATATCAATATTAATAAGCTGAATGCGTAAACATCACTTCTAGATTTCCATCTTTAGAAGTGGAATATTTTAGTAAAAACTTTAAATACAAATAATCCTATTCCAAGATATCAATTAAATTAGTTCTCAAACACCAAAGATACCGTCTAACATAAACACAATAATATTTAGTTGAAATGATAACCTCTGCCTTTTAAAGTCGGTAAAGCCAAAAACTAAACTTGAGCCGACATGACTTTAGTGACAACGTATTTTAGGTACATCAGTAGCCTATTTTAAATATAACTGCAAAACGTTCCAGGTTCCTGAGATCAACTGCTTTGGAAATGGAACTGGATGACGATGTTACATCCCGTGGTATTCTAGCACCTCGTTTTATTGGTGATATTGCTGATGAAGTGGACATAATTGAAAATAAGAAAGCTTCTTTCCGTAAGTACATAGCAGTTGAATTTATCGATATAGAGAGATAACAGATTGTTTTATTGAGAAAGAAAAAAAGGGAAAATAATAAAGAAAATAATTGGAATCGCGTTAAATGGAGCAAGTCCCTTAAATTCGAGAACTAATAGCTAGACTTTATTAAAGGCTTTCACGTACGGCGAAGAAGATACTATAAAATTTTCATCTGAAATTAGTATAATAAGGATATTAATGTACATCACTACTGTGCGCTTTTCGTCGTTTGTGACTCCTGAGTTGCAGACGTTCATGGGCGGCGATGGTCACTTTCCAACAGGTGACCCGTCTGCTCGTCTGCCCCCTCTAACATAAAAAAAGCGAGCGAGCGATATTGAATCCTAAAATGTATATACATATTATTATAGTATCTTTGTTGTGTGTGACGTGCTTAATACAATTCGATAAAAGTTTAACGTATATGTGTAAACAGACTATGTTGATCAACTTGAGTCTTAATTGGCGTCTTTTAATTGCCAATTAGTGTTGAAGTACTATGTGAGTCCCTAAATCATCTATACAGCATATTATTTAAGGAATTAAGAAAATATTAGTATTATAGGAATAAATTGAGAGAAATTGATAGGCGTATTCAACTGGGGTGGGCTGCTTTTGGAAAATTGGAAGACGTCTTCAAGTCCAAAATCCCCCAATGTCTGAAAATCAAAATATTCAATCAATCTGCCTATTCTCACTTTGACCACCTACCCGATGGTCAGACGACATTGTGATTGGCGGTAGGGGAGCAATGGATCCGGCTGACACAAAAATGCCAGGAGTAGCGTGATAGGCTTCTTAGATAAATAGATGTAAGAATAAAGGAACGAATAACAATGTATGTTAATAATGATATTTTTTTGTTTACAGCTGGTCGCCATAAGTTGAAGAAGCTAATCATTCCTATGTTGCTGATTCTGAAGCTGTTCAAGCTCAAACTGCTGCTCTTCTTGCCTCTGATTCTTGGTCTAGCCAGTTTCAAGAAGTTCCTTGGATTCTTAGCTCTTATCGTGCCCGGTATGTTTTTATTTATGTTTATTCAAAGCAATCATTGTTTCAAAGTAATCAAAAGCTTCTCTTACAACCTCTAGTACAATTTGCCGTCTATTTAATAAAGACTTTTCCACGGAGTATCAGTATCATCAACAGCCTATACTAGTCCACTGCTGGACATAGGCCTCTCCTTAGAAAGAAGGTTTTGGCCTACTATACCACGCTGGCCAGACGGGTTGGTATAGGGTTTGTTTCAAGTTTTCCTTCTCTTTGCAGTGCTGTTGTTCTGCTTAGTTTGCTCCCTCAGTCGGCTCCCTCAGTCGGCTCTTACGACACCCACGGGATGAATTGGGGTGGTGACAATTTGTATTCTTAATCCGTCACCACACGGACCACACCTTCACGTATACTTAAATATATATTGCACCAGTTTTAGATAAGATACAAGCCTAAGATTAACAAGGTGTAAGGGACATCGTACCGAATACTGAAATAGTGTATTCTGACCATGATTCTGAGTCGAAATACATTTAAATTTTCTGCCGGAAAATTCATCGGTTCCATTTTTCTGGTTAAAAATGATGAAAAATGATATCACAATGAGTAGACAGAACATTTTACCGAAAACAATTTAATAAATACGAAAAAACTGCAATGTAATTAATTAAACAGCCGAAGCGCGCGGGGCCTCCCGAGCGGCCGACATTTTGTGTTAGTGTGCGTAGATGTTTGCACGGAATACACATGTAGTTATTACTTTTGAGCGATACCTACGGGGAAATACCTTAACCTTTGACAGCTGATTGCATAAAAAGTTTAATTTTCCGGCAGAGAATTCCAATGATTTTCGACTCAGAATGATGGTCTGAATACACTATTTCAGTATTCGTTACGACATCCCTTACACCGTATAATATTATACTTACCTTATAATATTATACTGGTTTCATATACGGAAATGATCTTATTGTGAATTTTTCGATAGTTTCGTACCATCTGATAATTTGCAATAGCATCAATTAAAGAGTTCTCAAAGATCACTCACCAATACAATAACAGAATTGTCAGTGGTGTGTTTAAGTGGTATCTTTCATCGTATATCACCTATATAACTCATGTTTAATATCTTCTTTTAGGTGTCATTGGTTACTTCAAGTTCTGCAAGCCCAACTCGTCACCATTCTCACAAAATCACTACACAGGACCTCAGTATAGCCCTGCTGGTATCGGGCTTGGCAATCACGGGATCTACAGAGACACACCACCAGCATACGGTCATGGACATTATGAAAGCTATCCCGTAAGTGTGTCTATATCTATTTTATATTTCTTCATAACATATAAAGAAAATAGTGAGTATTTAGGTGGTTGGCAAAGCCAAACTCAGTTGTAGATCCACATTAGCAGAATAATTGAGCAGCTGCTACTTTTTGAATGCTAATCGTCAAATTATCATTTACAATGCGGTTTGTTTCCATGCTTAGTTGCTTCATTAAAGCAATTTAAGAGGCACATTGGTATTGACCGCTTGTTCGGGATTTCCTTCTGTAAATTCTAGGTAGAAATAAGCTTTTGGTAATCATAGACTTCGCAACGACCATATTTTTATTTTAAGTACTAGATAAAAAAAGTACTTCCTTCGTTTCGCATTCCTTAATGAGCTAGTCTGAACTTCCAAGAAACTTAGTCGACATTTAATTATAATAGTTTGAATCGACTTAAATACAAGTACTATACCCCGTAGCTAATTAGATCTAGTACCAAATTTTAAGCATGTTAGATATAAAAGGAATGTCTTTTGTAAGTCAATTCAAAAGGTCTTTATATATTAAGCTTATACCCTTCATGTGACCGTATTTAATGGGAGAATTTATTAAACATTATAATTTATAATGATATATTTTCGTAAGAAAGCTACAGTTTAATTTGTACCATTTGAAAATATACTGTATCACTCACGGTTTAAATTCAGTTTCGTTTGATTTAAATTTAAAAGCACCCGCAAACATATAAAGTATGATGAATATGAAAAAGTCTCAGGCTGTACGTCAGGATCTTAAAAAATGATGCTTTATTGCCTCTACCTACCCAGGGGAGAGCTGTGCTTATAAATTTTTGACACCTTGAGCATTAAATGTGCTTTATTCGTAAATTAATTTAATCTTACATATCTGTTTTAGGGTGGCCATAAATACGGCTCAGGTGGAATTTCCTTCAGAGAACACGAAAGTCCTCAAGATTTAGCATATCAGGGCTGGGATTACAGAAATAAGCAAGGAGCTGAAGACATCAAGGCTGAAGAACCTTAAGACTGAGTGTTTAAATAAGTCATCACAGTAATAAATTGAAGGTTTTGTACATTTTTAGCTTTTAATACTGTAAAGAGCGGTACATTATATTGTACATTGTAATTTACTTGACTGACAAAATATTTTAACAAAGGATACGGTTGTTTAAGGAGCATCTTAGTAGACATTTTATTTCGAAAAGCCATTTTTTTTATCAAAACTATAATTAATTATAATCTTTTGTCACTATGACCAGATATGTCCGTACGTATATGTATATGTGCGTCCGTATATGTGATCATTTTTTTTATCAAAACAATAATTAATTATAATCTTTTGTGACTTGTTTGCACGTTAAGTTTGTGGTTAAGTTCCCATTTTCACATCTAATAATATTAATTATGGGAACTTAACCCTTGTTGTATTTAATGAGTGTAAATTTTATCAATCGTGATCATAGCATATTTGTCTTCAATATTTAAACTTTTAGTACTTTCTCCAACCAGTTTAAATAACACTTTATGAAAAAGAAAATTGGGTCTGAAAGTAATCTTTTCTACCTATTTATTTGCTTTAGTATCTATCTAATCGTTTATGTACGACTCCATGGTACAATCCAGAGATACGTACTAATTGTGTTAAGTAATTTATTATCTTGCAATTTATAGTTAGCGCCCCGAATACAGCACAGTAAATTGGGCACAATTTATGGGTGCTATGCAAAACCGAACCGCATTTGCAGTATTATAGTCTCTCATAAGTTAACTATAAATTTTAGTTTTTCTTCGTTGTTTAGTCTTTTTTGTTAATGTTCTATTTAGTTCATTCTTTGTATTTAGTTTTTAATTATTTCATCAAAATTAATATTGCTTCAACTTTGCACCGTGCCATTACTTAGCATTTCTCTATTTGTTAATTTTTGGTTTAGTAATAAATTAAAATTTACTGAACTAGTTAAGCGACTGGTCAACGCTTCTAGTGACCAGAAAACAGTGATTTTTGTTGCATAGGAAATAAGCCTTGATATTAAACGTGACAATGTTGCCAATCTTCAAGAACTGGTGAAGGAGTTCTGTGACCACCTGCATGTAAATAGTTATAATAATATCTTAATGCTTTTAACTTACTCTATCTATATTTTATAACAAATCGTATTCATTTTTATAAAGTTTTCTTGCAGTATTCTTCCGTTCAGATCCTCTGCTTTATAATGATTGAATTCTGCTGTTGAAAGTCTTTGTTATTCATAGTTTTACTTTGTCTGTATTGTAAGTAACATTTTGTTTAATCATACAGTCAAATTGCAGTACTTTAGTGTATGGTGTATAAGCAAACCCAGTGGTTGTGTTTATAGTCTGTATCACTTGTTTTAATGGATTTGGTTTTCATAACAAAATTATTAAGGCCTCATTTGTACTTGTAATGACTTGACTGCGCGGATGTATGTATGTTTAAGCGGTCTACGCTGAGTGTTGTGGGTTCAATCCTCACATGACACGAGACTTTGTGTGATCCACAAATTGTTGTTTTGAGTCTGGGTGTTCTTTGTGTCCGTTTCATGTATGTAAAGTTCCCCCGCGACACAGGATATATTCCTAATGCAAGAGTTCACTTTTTTGAAAAAAGAAACATTTGGATTGATTATATCAATGTTTCACATAAAGGTCTATTAAACGAAAACAGAAGAGGATATATTAAAGAATTAGAATAAGATCTAGTTAATAGTTTTATTAGAATAACAAAACGCAACAGGATTTTAAAAGGTTATTAGTTATTGACAAAGTCCACCATTACACGATTTAATCATACAAATAGGGAATAAAAAATATTATTATTTTTGCGACAACACATGTAAAATAAACAGCGCGAGTCACTGTCACTGAATTGGTCTGAAAATTCGAAGGTACTTATAGCTTTGCGTGCTATAAGTAAGTGTTTTCTTTGAACACAAATTTGCTTTGTTTTAAATGTATCTCCTATGTGTTAATAAAAAGTATGTCAATGGTGCTAATTCTGTTGTTCGAAAACTCACTAAACTAAACTAAAAATTACTAAAAAATAGTGTAGTCCTGTTAAACAACGTTTCGTATTCTGAAAACGTAATACTTGACAGGACTAAACTAACTTTTAGTGATTTTTAGTTTAGTTAGCACCAATTTAAGTAAAACTCATGGTAAGGTTTTGTGTTAACAAAGTATATAAGAGATAGTATCTATCTTTTTGTTTGTCAAGTTTGACGATTTAATGTTATCATATATTTTGTATGATTCTTGCTTAGTAATTCATGTAAATTATTATTTTTTACATTATTAATTAAAATGTTTTACATAAAATTTCGTTTCAATTCTTATATTCTAAATAATCAACCCGTGTGTTCGTTGCCCATAGTGGGCAACGAACACACGTGTCTTTAAAAAAAACACTGTGTCTTTAAAAAAAATGAATATTGGTTAATATCTATATATAATTCAACAAATAATCTGAATAATTTTTCCTACAAGCTAAACTTAATGATTACAAAAATAGTAACAGAAATAAAGAAATTTCTAGCTGTTCGTTAATTCTAGTTAATTGTATGAACAAATTGTAATTAGGAACTTGTGTCACTTCGTTTTACAGAAACGTACTTAATTAATAAAATTTAATATTCTACCACATTCACACAACGTTATCTCTTCCCAAATTAAGCAAAGCTTGTACTATGGCTACTAGACAACTGATGTAAATACATATATAATAGGTCTTTACCTATGAAATTGCCGTTTTGTATGCAATAAGTGAAAGTACTAATTTTTTCAAACTTTTTTATTCCTGTTATTCGAAGTAATCACCATGCAATCGACGCATCTTTGCCAACGCATTGGCAGTTTATTGATGCCCTTCTTGTAAAAATCAGCTGGACGGGAGGCAACAAACTCTTCAAAGGCATTTTGTACTGCCTCTCGGGAATTGAATTTTTTACCCACTAAAAAGTTGTCTAAATTTTGGAAAAAGTAATAGTCGGTAGGTGCAAGGTCTGGTGAGTATGGCGGATGAGGGAGAGCTTCCAACCCCAGCTCTTGCAGCTTGGAGACTGTCTGTTGCGCAGTATGGGGTCGCGCGTTGTCGTGAAGGAGCAGTGGGACGACCGATTGACCAAAGCTGGTTGCTTGGTACTCACAGAACATATAATACACACACACAGAACACATAACAGAAATAAAAAAGTTTGAAAAAATAAGTACTTTAACTAATTGCATACAAAACGGCAATTTCATAAGTAAAGACCTTATATATATTTGTAAATATATACTTATTATACATAGAAACACCCAGACCAAATCAAACATTAAATGTTTAAGCACAATGTTTGACTTGAGCGGGATTCGAACCCGCGACCTTTTGAATATAGCATCTTCTTTAATTAATTTTACTGGTAGATTAAAGATCTACTATAAGAGCTAATATAAAATAATACGTTTATTAACATTATTTAAATATATTTTTCTGTCCTCTTTAAGCTATTGTTATAGGCTGTTGATGATCAAATTATTTTAACCAATAAGGTTCTATCGAATTACTCGTATTTATTTTTGAAAGAAATTTATTTTTGACATTTTTGTACGATATTTAAATAAAACTCAAAATGCTGGTTACAACTGCAAGGTTAAAGGCTTTTGGCACTTATTTATTACCATTCATCATCATCATCACCATTATCGACAGCCTTAGAGTTAGGTTTTTATCAAGTTGTCTCTGCAGTGCTGTTGTTCTGCTTAGTTTTTTCCCTTAGTCGGCTCTTACGACACCCACGGGATAAATAGGGGTGGTGACACTCCGTATTCTTAATCTGTCACCACACGGACCATAATGAAAGAATAAAATGAATAGTCAATTTATTTAAAAAGTTTAATTACAAGCAAAATCACATATTTTACGAGTATGTCATTGCAACTAAAATCTTGGTAAGAAATAGTTACCTGGGTCTATTACAATAACACATAATAATATACTATGTATCATCATCATCATCTGCCTACCCTTTTCCTAATTTTATTTGGGGTCGGCGCAGTATGTATGATTTTTTAATTCTACTCTGTCATGCGTCATCTCACTGTTTACTCCCTTCCTAGCCATATCCTCCCTGACGCAGTCCATCCACCTCTTCTTCGGTCTGCCTCTTCTCTTGTAATAATATACTATGTATGTTAGTAGATATTTTCATTGTTAATTAATATTAACAATGAAACAGATTGATTGGGTTTTAAAATATTTTGTTTTTATTATTATGTTGTTGTTTTTATCTTTCTCTTGCTTTCTTGCGATCTTTGAGAGTGAAAACTGAGGCAAGTGTATTAGAGACAGCTTTTTTTTTCTGTGCGGAAATCCCCTCGGATACCACCCACCGATGGTTATGTCGGACTCGAACCGACAAAAAACCGCACGCCGTCTCGGGTATCAGTTACCGGGGAACCAGGTGTACCCTAGGAAGGAAAACGCTGATACTAGAGACAGCTGACGGTGTCTTAGAGCTAATTGATTTGGTCAGACGGCAGCCGTGACGTTAAATGTCATACAGTATACATGACAACTATAAGGCTTCGTTGTTATTTGAATGTCTCTTTCAACCAAATTACCGAAAACATCATGTCCTCAACTTGACTCTATCTTTTTCTGTTTGTTACACCAGAACTCCATTATTAATAAACTGATTTAGAATATATTTGTTTTATTTAGAAGTGGTTACTTTCCATTTGGTTTCATTTTAATTTGAAGAAGTAATATCACCAGCAAGGGCAAAAAATAAGGAATAAAGAATACAATTTGTAACAATTTATCATTATATCATGATCGGTAATACTTTTTTAAAAGGTAATTACACTTACATAAAATTAAGTTATGGTTAAATACTGATATATTACATTACATTAGTACGTTGTTTGAGAATCAAAGTAAGTTACTTATATTTTGTATTTAATATGTTTATTAATTTAACTTAATTGAATACTAAGTTAACCTTATCGATGCTACTTGGAATGCCCTGCTGACTGAAGAAGCCAAATATTGTACAAATTTTAATAATTTGCGATGTCTCAAATGTATTTACGTAGTGCGGTTATCCGGTCGCGAACACTAACACTGCCAAAATTCCATCCAAAACCATAATATTATCTAAGTCTTCCATATTACAGATCTGTAATGGCTTTTTTCCCCAAGATATCTGACTTTCCCAAGTAAGTTTTTATTGAAATTGTGTTTCTTATGCATTTTATTTCTGTATAATTTCTATTTTTAAAACATGTCTGTAAGTCCACCAATATATTTTCTATTAATCAACTTAATACATTACTACTGTTAGTGTGTACGTACTAAGTACAATATCTTGTTCTACCAATATTTCTTAACATGAGTTTGAACCACATTGAAATCTTTATTTGTGTTCAAAAATTTTAGTTCATCAAAATCTTTTAATATGTATACATCTTCTCTATCAACAGCCCCTCTCTTTTCTCTTTTATAAAATTTCTTCTTCTGCAATTTCTGGAATGGCGTAGGATTTCTGGCTCCCTTTAATTTGTACTTTTTTGGTTTCTTTCTTAGATTTGAGGCCAACGTTGTTTGATCATCTTTCCAGGCAGACAAATCATCCTGGCCTTTATCATAATATGTGTGTGCAGTTTTTGTAGTAGTTTGTAATTTAATAACATATATTCTTTTAGTCTTTTGTTTCTTCTTTTTTATTATTTTCTGTATCGTTCTTTTCGGTGATTTCTTTAAAAACTTCTTCTTTTTGTCTTCTAATGGATTTATTGTTGGCATACGAATCATATTTTCTGCTTTTTCAATGTACGATGCATTGTGAGGTATCTGTAATATTTCAACAGGTTAATCACTATTTTGTAAATTATAGTTTTCTTAGAAAAATTACTGAATTGAGTAATGAACAAAAGCATGTCATCCATAAAGAGTGTCGTTCCTAAGTAAAACGTATAATCGAACAATCCTATCATTAGGGTGAAAGTGGGATAGTCGCCCTAGCACTACAGATCTCGATCTCGATCTCGAGACCTGTATTGTGTCTCAAATGTAATATAGACGCAGTTATACTTATGTTCAAAGATTGGATCTCTCCTCAACAGCCATAGTCGTAAACTATGATAGTTACCAACAATAACTTTTAATCTTAATATAGGTAAAAGATATAGCTTTGATTAAAAATGATAGCTTGTTTTAATGTTATGACTGTTCGGAAATCAAAAGCAATGTCCACCCATCCAGCAAATTATCCATCTTTTACCCTAATAGTATTTATTAAATTAAGTTACACATATTGTTATTGATATTAGAAAAAGTGAGGATACAGTCGTGCCACTGCTAATTATAATATAATTTTAAAGCATTCCTACATTTGAGAATTGACCTTAAATAATGCCTACTAAGATAAATGGGTTAGAAAGTTATCTAGATGATGTGATAATATCTGAGAACAGTAAAAGCTCTTATTTTACTATTTCTACATCACATCAGCCTTTAATAGTCCACTGCTGGACATAGGCCTCTCCTTAGAAAGGAGGTTTATTTCTACATGATCATTATTATATGATATTACAGTTCAAAAAAGTGTCGAAGTGATCGAGTGTAAAATATAAAATTTAACATTACTTTTCTTTTATGCGGCTTCCAGAAGTGCTGCTTCCATAGTGGAATGCCCTGAAGGAAAAATACGGGGATCTTTAAAATAACTATTTTTGAGAATGTAATAAAATAATCGAAGAATGAATGTAATAAACGTTAAGATTGACTCTAGTTTTTGTTTTAATTTCGTGGCGCCACTGTATCCGTAACGTAAAACATCGTGTTATACTACAGTGTTAGGATTAGACTAATACTAAGTAATAGTATTTAAATACCAAGTAATATAAATCTTTTTACCATGACATTCCTGTTTTCTGCAGCACTCTGTTTAATCTCGCTGCCTTGATTACTGTGATTCTGAAAAAAAGTAAAAATTGCCTTAAAACAGAGGAATTTGGAAGGACAGATGGATTTGGACCGCAATAAGCAATATCCCTTTTCTTTTCTATCAGTTTCCTACCAATTTTCCTGTCGAATACGCAAAAGCGCCCAAAAAGCTAGCAAAAACCCGACTTACGAAAAAAAGTAATTTTTGACATTTTAACATTTTCGTGGAAGAACCATGCTTGCCATCCATCGATTCAGCTTATTTGTCCCTATGGCCTGAATCGACCAAAGTGATACCACAGCTTCACAAAAAACCAATGCTAAGCAATTCTTTCGTTGCTTTCACTGAATGAGTGAGATTACCGGAGGCCACAATCTCCTCGTCCTAAGTCCGTCGGGAAGGACTCTAAGCCGGGATATGCCCATGTAATTCTTGAGCTTCAGATATCCATAGCCGGCCGTAGTCACTTACAATCGGATAACCTGTCTGCTCGTTTTTCCTCTATACCATAAAGAAAACTTACATGAACACTGAAATAATTAAAAACTTTGTGCTTTTACGGCATGGGTTTCAATGTTATTAAATCAATTAGTACGTGTGCAGCTATATTTACACTTACGCAACTTACACGTTCCTTTGTTTTCAGTTACATAAGAGTTTGTTTGTGAACATTCAATGTATGATTTCAATTCTCACTTTACATGACCAATGCTTGGAGCTTAGGAGGTAATATTAAGCTCCTTTATAAGATTTCCTTGTTCAGTTTGCACAGATATTTTATTAAATAAATAATGTTTTATTTCATCATTTGCATATTTTCTTTTTTTTTTTTTTTTCTTAAAAAGACAACTCCCGCATTAGGAATATATCCTGTGTCGCGGGCGACTTTACAAACATACATGAAACGGACACAATTAACACCCAGACTCAGAACAACAATTTGTGGATCTCACAAAGTGTCGTCCCATGTGGGGTTTGAACCCACAACACTCGGCGTAGTAGGAAGCGGCGTGGTGCCCGCTTAAACCACTACGCCATTCGTGCAGTCATAATCTACTAACTAAAAACATTTTAATACTGAAAAACCTAAAATATTTTATGGGGCAACTGAGCACTTAAGTCACCTGATGGTAAATGACTACCACCGCCCATGGACCCTAGTAACCTAAGAGTCACAAGTGAGTATTTGTGATAACTTCACTTGCTCCGGACTTGCGTAACACTGGTTTTTTGTGAGGTTGTGGTATCCTGCCTTGATGGTGCAGTGGTAGTGTATGGGACTGCTGTTCTCAGGTTCAATTCCCAGATCGGATCAATTATTTGTATGATCTACAAATACTTGTTTTCGAAATTGGGTGTTTTCTACGTATATTTATACATATATATATATATATATTTATACACATATATTATATACATATATATATGTGTATGTATTTACAAAATAAAAATAAATTATATAAGTATTCTATCACTCAATCTACACTTTCAAAATACAAGCTCTGTTTAGTTTGTAACTAGATCTCCGAAATATTATTATTATTATCCCGTCGGGCCAGAGCCTAGTCGCCTTCCCGCAGTTAAAATTAAAAAAAAAACTACAAAATTCAAGTAAATCAAAATTCGAATTACCAAATGTTGTTTGACTACGCTTTGTGTTGTCGGATATTGGCTTAGCCTTTTATCTCAATAAGATAGCTTTGGAGAGGTTTGTATTGAAAACTACAGATTATTACTGAAAGTAATACGCAGACAGTAATACATTAAATTAAAATTTAATTAAATTAAGTATATTGGTGAAGGATTAAGAATACAGAGTGTCACCAGCCTTATTCATTCTGTGGGTGTCGTAAAAGCCGACTAAGGGAGTAAACTGCGCAGGACAACAGCACTGCAAAGAGAAGGAAAACTTGAAACAAACCCTATACCAACCCGTCTGGCCAGCGTGGTATAGTAGGCCAAAACCTCCTTTTTAAGGAAAGGTCTATGTCCAGCAGTGGACTTGTAAAGGCTGTTGAGGAAGTATACTTTAAACTGAATACCTGGATAGTAAATAAGTGAGGTAATTAATGAGTAAGAAAAGCCTTTATTATGAAGACCCTAGAATACTTTGAAACCAAGGCCCTGCCCCCTCTAACACAAAAAAAAAGACTATAATGGGTTTTGAAAATCATGAATAGAGAATGCGGAAAATTTGACATATTATTTTGTTTGATGTAAAGATTTTGAATTCAATATAATGTCGATTGGAAGCTATGGGCCATGAACATACATACATAAAAAGAAGCAAATCATGGCATTTTAAAATTCCTGGAGTTCAATTTGTCTAACAATTATTCAGAATGACATTAGTATAAAAATATCCTAAGGATTTAATGAAAAGCGAAATAATAAGACTATGATACAGCAATAATATTCAAACAAAACACATTCAACAAAAGGTTCTCGATAATGATGAAAAAATTAAATCTAATAATAGAGCAATCATTAATTTAGATTTTAACAAAAACAATGTTAAATAAGTAATACTCAAACTTACCAACTCATTACAAATAACAATATGAATTAGAACAGCGGAGAACAGCAATATAAGGTACATTATATTCACATAAGAACTTCCAAATGAACACCAAACCAATATCGAGTAACTTTTATAAACTATCCTTGTAGTTTACAGCTATTGCAACTCAAAACACTATTGTCCAAAGCTATGTTATAAAAAAGAAAGAAACCAATCAACGGATATGACCTTAGTACGTTTTCTGTAGTCGAATCTAGTTTTATTATGTATAGTAAGACTAAACATTATGGTCCACAGTGGCACAGAAACATACATATATGTTTAAACATATATGAAAAGTGGTGAAGGACGTATTTGCAAAAAAAATTACATTCTTCATGAAAGTTTAGGAAAAGTGCAAGGTTTTGAAAACAGTGGAAATAAAAATGTTTGAATAGACATTAATAATATAGTGCTTGTCTCACTTAATTTTTAAACAATAGAAAAAGAAATATTTAAACCTGTACAAAAGCTTTTGGAATATAAACAGTTTCAATATATCGATTTTATATTAGGTAAATAATACAGTCATAATGAGTTGCCATATAATATATTCTTAAAAAATAAACAACTGTAGTATCTGTTAAATCACTCTGAAATTCAATATTATTTAAAACAGTATTGAGAAAAAATATGTAGTTAAAACGGTGTTTAGCAATTGTTTAATTAATATCGTTTGTCTTCGAAATTCTTATTGGAAACTATTAAAATGAAGTGGTCAAATAAAGAATTATTTTGAAAATATGCTTCAGAATACCAGAATGTTCTTAAAGGTAAGTTTCATGTTTAATTCGATTCGCTTATATCGTCACATTAGTGAAAAATGTTTCTGTCTGTGTTTTCTTTTCTTATGTTCAAATGTTGCTAGGTCTACCTCACGTTTTGCCTCTACTCGTATTACAAACTTGCTAACTTGTGAAATATTTATGGCAAATGTTAAATGATTTATTATTTGACTGCACGGATGGCGTAGTGCCGCTTACTACTACGCTGAGTGCTATGGGTCCAATCCCTAAATGGGACTACACTTTGTGTGATCCACAAATTGTTGTTCTGAGTCTGGGTCTTCTTTTTGTCCGTTTCATGTATGTTAGTAGAGTCCCCCGCGACAAAGAATACACTTATTCCTAATATTGTGTGAGAATAATCAAATTAATGTTCATCTCTAAAAGTTGGTTATAGAAAAATTAAAATTGTTGACCCTAAATTGTTTCCAACATGTTTGTTTTTGTATATCTCTAACTCAATTTTAAGAATTTTACTGAATTGTGTATACTTTTTTACCTAAACATCTTTTTTTGGCAAAAGAGTTTGCGATATTATTTTCCAACCCAGACTAGTTTCTTCATCAAAGTTACGATACTTAGTATTTTTGTATATTCATAGTATTATCAAAAAGCTCTTATATAGTCATCATCTGCCTACCCTTTTCCCAATTTTATTTGGGGTCGGCGCAGTATGTATGATTTTTCCATTCTACTCTGTCATGCGTCATCTCACTGTTTACTCCCTTCCTAGCCATATCCTCACTCACGCAGTCCATCCACCTTTTCTTCGGTCTGTCTCTTTTCTTGTATCCTTCAACTCCCATACCTAGAACTTTCTTGGCCACATTTTCCTCATCCCTCCGTATGACATGTCCATACCAAGATAACCTATTACTTCTTAACTTTTCATCCAGTGGCGCTTCAGACTCCCTCGTATATACTCATTCCTAACCTAGTCCATCTGAGTCACACCACACATCCATCTCAGTATTCGCATTTCGGCTACGTTCAGGCGTCTCTCATCCGTTCTCTTAATGGGCCAACTTTCAGAACTATACAGGACGGCAGGTATGATAATAGTTTTATAAATTTGTCCCTTCAGTGTTAAAGCTCTTATATAGTAAATGATTCAATTTATTGTCAATTTGGCGTATGATTGCAGTTGATTCTGAATAAGTTATTATCCATCATTCAAAGGTAACTGTAGTTTGATCTTAGTATTTAAGTTTTCAAATCTATCCATGACGGATTAAGAATTCGGAGCCACCATTCATCCTATGGGTGTCGTAAGAGCCGACTAATGGAGTAAACTACAACAGCACTGCGAAGAGCAGGAAAACTTGAAACAAACTCTATACCAACCCGTCTGGCCAGCTTAGTAGGCCAAACCCTCCTCTCTAAGGAGAGGCCTATGTCCAGCGTGGACTACTAAAGGCTATTGATGATGTTAAGTTTTTGAAAAAGGGGGCCGAAAGATGTAGATGATAAAATAATTACTGTTTTAGCAAAATTCTTTACAGTAAGCGAAATACGCTTGATGCACTGTTACTGTCACTGTATGCATTACTAATCCTATTTTGTATTCTTTATTCTTTTTCTGTTTTTTTTTATTCCAGTTTGTCCCACTGTTTGTTATATTCCAAGTATCAAGATGTTCGTTTGTGATGGACAGCTACAGTCAAAAAGGCATCTACTTATCCGACTATTGCCCACAAATGGAGTACTGTCCCGAAGGATCCCACGTCATGTGCATGTATTATGATCCTGTAAGTACTTCAAATTTATCGCTAAATCTGCCAAACCCAGGTAAAATATAATAAAGTAAATAAATAGATAGAATATTTCAACTTTACTTTTGCTTGAAGTTCTTAAGACCTGACCTGAGTATTTATACGTGTAATATTTAATCACTCCCAAAAATATCCATCTTAAAATGTTTATCTGACTTACAAGCTATGCATAATTGCGTTCTGGATAGCTTTGTTTTATAATGGGACAATATTAAATCGTACCAAGGCAGGCTGCGTGGCAAGATTGACTAACAATCGAAAATTTAAAAGGTATTTGATACATTCAGGATACCACTCATACTAAACGGCCATAGCGTACCACGCTCGGGCCACAACCATGCTTAAGCTCAGCTCCATTTTTACCAATATCCTGTTTTGACTAATAATAGATGAAGAGGTCTTGCCACACATCAAAATTATCAGTCCTGGCATCCATAACATATAATTTAGAAGCGAAGTACCTGTCGGACTTGCAATTTCATTATTTTTTACCTACACCAGGTGTTTTATTACTTAGAACAAAAAGGAAGGTTCTACCCTTACTGCCTTGCACACTAAGCTAAAGACTTATGGTAACTAAATTAATATAACGCGTTTGTGACTCCTGAGTGGCAGACGGTCATGGGCGGCGATGGTCACCCGTCTGCTCATCTGCCCCCTCTAACATAAAAAAAAAACCAACCCGAGCAGACCAGACCGAGCAAGCCGTGAAAATGGCTCATTCTTGAGAATAGCGTTATGTTGTCCAGGCCTGGATTATAACGGAGAATAAGGACCGATTAATCCAGGGGCTGAGAGGCAGGAGGACTGATATAAAGGAGACTATATATCAAGAGCGCAAAACGACTGTATTAAAAAGAGATGAAGTTATGCTGACTGAGAACTCCGCACAAAATTGGAAAACATGGTGGCAATGGAAATAAATATAACGGAACTAACAAAAACATAATTAATAACATACTTCAATGGGGTCTCTGATTTTAGAGATTTCCTCTTTCGATGATAAAAACAGAAAACTGTGAGTGTGTTAACTTGTAAAACTTTCACACCTTAGCAACTCAACTGATTGAAGTGTAATTAGTAGACACTCAGTCAGGAGTAAAGTACTTACAAAGATCAAAGTGTATGTTCCCGAGGCGTGAAATAATTGCTTTTAGGTAGCCGTGCAGCTTGATAAAATCTACATAATCGGGAACGACACACAGGCGAAAGCCTAGGCTTAGAGGAAGTAGGACACAGAATATCTGCTTAGATTCTAACGAACTAGGGTAGTACATCAATGTTACAGACAATTAGACAGCACTATGATTAAGTGGTATTTTTTGTCATATCTTCACGGGGAAAAGAGGTTTATCGGGTTGTCACACATATATGGCAACATAATCTTTCTGTTTTTCATAAGCACCGATGAAAGTGTAAAATTAAATCATTTATGGCAATTAAATCAAGTATCATTGGTACATTTTAACGAGCAATTCTTGTATATATATAATCTGATTTTCATTAAATTTAGTATGCAGGGGTTTCGGTGGCGATTAATCGATCTAGCTAGGTTTCAGTTTTAGAAAATTTACCAAAAAAAAATCATGCAGGTACCTACTGTTAGTTATATACGTAACTGAGATTCAACACTCAGACTAAATTAGTGCTGAAGTTGAAGTTGTCGAAGTTGGGTGCCTGGTCCAATACATATATCTTTAATACAAGTACAGTTTTTCTCAACATGTTCCATGAATTCTGGTTAACATCTATTATATTCTAGGAGTTTTTTGGAAGCTCACTTGACGCCAAGCAATTCTATAAAATCTACGATTTACACAAAATTCAAATTTAAGGAAATAACAGTTTAATAAAATACTTCTATTTTTGTATCACTTTGAAATTAGGTCCGCTATGGGCAGCCAAATATAATTATAAGCCCATTTCATCATATTCAAAGCTTCATTTCGAATAAAATTAAGGAAAAGAAAATAATATTTTATTTCGTTATCTTATCAGAAAAGTCATTTACTTAAGACGTAAGCTTATTCAACTTTTTTTGTAAAAACAGTATAACGAAATACCGAAATTACATCACTCTTTAGTAAATTGACAGACAGACAGGTGTATTAAAGCGCTCACATATTGCCACTATAATTTTAGTCCAAGTGACTTAACAGGGAGCAACCCTATCTGACAAACGGGTACATGTATTTCTGAATACTTACATATTATAGATAAATTACGCCCTGACAAGAAATGAATGATCATGTTCAAATATTTATGCTGGATGGGAAACAAACCCACGACCTTTGGTTTGGAGTCAGATTTAGTAACCACTAGAACAACAGACCAGACGAATTAAACAGCCTTTACAATTACTAAAGGTACATGAAGTGTTATCTCATAAGAATGTAAAGAAAAATGTACAATACAATTTAACTACAGTATTTAAAGTTTATAAACACAAAGAAAGTTATTAATACTCAGCGTACCTGAGTATATTAATACCACAGCACGTGCACTATCTGACAAAGCGTTTGTTTACAATTCTGGAACAAGAATGGTTACTTGTTTTAAAAACAATATAGTAGATATCAACCGAAGGTCGGACTCGGCTTTTAGTATTGTTAATTTAGACAAGACACATTGGTGCTAATACTATTGTTCGAAAACTCTCTAAACTAAACTAAAAAACACTAAAAATTTGTTTCGTCCTGTCAAATAACGTTTCCTGTTCTGAAAACGTAGAATTTGGCAGGACTAAAAGTTTTTTCAAGGATTTTTCGTTTAGTTTAGAAAGTTTTCGAACAACAGAATTAGCACCAATATCTCAAGTACTGTGTATAAAATGAAGATTAACCATAGGCCGATATAGTGCCAAATACTTACATACTTCCTCCGATTTTCAAGCAATAGCTTACGATAAATACGAATCTTGCTGTGCGCGAAGGCGCTAATATCATAAAGGATTGTCTAGTGATTGAATGAAATCTAGTCACTGATTGAATTTAGCAAGGCATTTATTTGCATCGTTTTATGGTATAGAACTACTAACGTTTGACATAACTACAGAAGCAGCACAGGCAATGGTTAATTACCCACGTAAAAAGTCTGACTCTTGACAAAGTAAAACAAATGTTCATTAATCTCAAACCAAAACAGTCATCTTGCTCATACCAGATTGAATGTTCAGAGATTGCAACAAGATTCTGGCTAAACCATTGCATCGTATTTTATCATCTGATTAAAATACAAAATGTTCCCTGGACGATGGAAGCTCACTGGTCAAATCAACAATAATATTTGAATGTCTGTAAGTACAGACCAATGGCCCTCCTGTCGATGCCGGTAAAAGTCTTCAAGTCTACTATCCAGCAATCTGTAAAGCACGTGCAGCAGTATTTTCAAAGCAGACACAGCAATGCTGCTAATCTTCCTAACTGTACGACTCGCTGCCTACATTGTTAAGCTATGTCAACCCGATTGATACGCGAGGCCCCACGTCCATTTAATGTACAAAGAAATACCAAGGCGACTGCGGTTAATCATCCTGATGCAATCGGGTAAGAGCTCATTAACACAGATAGACTGGAAAAGTGCGGGCAGTGACCTGACCTTTAAACTACTTCAATTTTGTAACCGCAAAAGGCTGTTTAATTTGTAAATTAAAAGTTTTACTTGTCCCACTCTGTAGAGTAACATTACCATATGACTACGAATACACAAGTGATACATAGAAAGCAAAGGTATATTTTTTTTAAGTAAAAGTCACTTTATACCCGTAAAAACCATAATTTATATTTTTGTCTGGGCAGTTGTAAATCGTATTTTTTTCTAGAAAAAAAATGATTCTTTATTCTTACTTCAGGTTGCCAAAACGGTTTTTCGAGTCTTTTTTGTTAAATCCATATTAATATTATAAATAAACAAATTTATTTTTCAGAATCGTGAAATGGGTCCACGATGCAGTAATCCTCAGAATGTAACCATTACGCCAGCTCTAGCAAATCAATTACTTGAGATTACAAATGCGTAAGTAAATATCAGGCATAGTAAACTATCTCGGAGGGCCAGGCATAGCAAACTAAAATCTAAAATAGTTAGGCCAAAATTTTACCGGTGGAAGACACCATGCTTATCCATTAGATAGCCATACTTTAACCTTTGGTGGGCCATAGTTCAGCATATATGGGTTGGCTCGACGGGAGTGTTACCACAGAACATTTCTCTAATCATTAATTCTGGGGGGAGACTTAAAGGGCTTCAATGCACTTGAGACTCTTAAGTTTCAGGTGTACATAGATGGCAATAATCACTTACCATTAGGTACAATTACCATAGTCAATTATAACCAGGTATACCCTAGAAAGGAAGTCCCTGGTGCAATTGGGATTTCTCCCCTACAGTAAAATTTTAGACATTGCATAATATGTAAAATATTGTCAAACTTCTAAGGAAGCTTCTTATAATACATAGATGTATTTTAATAGGCGTTAAGCATATGCATATATGATTCTTATAAAACTCGAATAATATCGAAAACATTGATTTTCCAAAATGGCATACATAAGTTAAACATACTTACCTATAGTTTTAAAATTCCTTATTATATATAAACAAGAGAAGCTGCTCCACAAGCCATAAATCGATCTAAGTGGCGTGCAATGGGAGAGGCCTATGTCCAGCAGTGGACTGTAATAGGCTGATGATGATGATGATGATATATAAACAATCTTAGTAAAGTGAAAGACTAAGTGGACTCATCAAAGGAAATTACATCATGATACAAACTAGATTACGCGTAGAAAATATTATATTCCGTGTCACTTACTGGCATTCTACAATGCACTGAATAAGTTGGTGCGAGGGTCACTAGTTGTATCCATAGTACCTTTAATCAATTTTGTAGTATACATAACTAGCTGACCCTGCAAACGTTGTTTTGCTATTTACATTTTTTTTTTTTTGAATTTCTTAAAATCCGTTCTTAGCTGACCTCTATTCGGTGAAAAGAATATTCCTACCAAATTTCAAGTCTTTAGCTCTAATGGTTCCAGAGATATCGTGATGAGTGACTATATACGTGGACATCTCTTATATATATATATAGATAAGGTTATATGTGTTTTATCACACCTCTGCTGAAATGACGTCTCAATTCCAAAAATCAAATAATAATCCAGAAAAGGGCTTCTTAAATTTATTCCACTTTAATTTTCCACGTTTCGGGATTTTAACAAATTAGAAGCTTGCTTGGAGCTCTAATTTCGTTTCTTACTTGTTATTCAAACATTAAATGGCTTTTATCGATAAATTTGACTATTTAAATCATTAACGTTATTTGTGGAAACATGCGAATGCCTTCACAGTAATAACATAATATATATTTGAATTAGTATGACTGTTTTTATGTATAAAATATATCATGTTTAAAAATAGAGGTAACTCTATCACTAGCGATAATTTCTGTATATTTACAAACATTTAAACAACAATTACAAGCAACACCCCAAATTTCAAGGCGTTAACTAATTTAATATCTTCGTATTTTTAATCTGTATTTTGTCCGTTTCATTCGATTAATATATGGTTTTCTATTTATATCTTACTAGCTGACCCTGCAAACGTTGTTTTGCTATTTACATTATTATTATTATTTTTAATTTCTTAAAATCCGTTCTTAGCTGACCTCTACTCGGTGAAAAGAATATTCCTACCAAATTTCAAGTCTTTAGCTCTAATGGTTCCAGAGATATCGTGATGAGTGACTTTATACGTGGAAATCTCTTATATATATAGATAGGTATCTATATAATATATTATTGCAGAATCAGGAGCAAAATAGCCAATGGAAGAGAGACTGGATACAACGGAACTAGGCTACCGAGGGGCTATGGAATATTCAGATTGGTAACTAATTCTTATTCAACTTTTAAAGTCTTTTTAAAGTTGTTTATCACCACTATTTGTACATCTTATGCTTTGGTCATTGTCGGGTATCTGAACTGTCATTGAAATTGAACGTATTAATAGTATGTGTATACTCATTAACAGTGGAGCAAGTCAAAAAATTCTGCTGTGGTAGCAGATTGAAAAGTTCTGATAGGTTTGATAAGCAAACAGTTACATGGACTGACTGATTTCTATTAAAGTGTTAATGATGTTAGCTGGTAACGCTTCCACGCCAAGTTACTACTGAACTAGATCAGTACCCCAAAAGGCGGCCTCATTCGTCAAGTACGTAGAATCTTGTTCATGCTTGTACTAAATTGAGAAAAGAGAAGAAATTAACGAGAGACTCTAAATAATAAAACTTGTATTATGAATCACAATAATGCTATATTTATTTCGTTTGCAGAAATGGGACAATGAACTGGCAACTTTTGCACAAGTTTTGGCGAATCAGTGCGTACTTAAACGCGACTTATGCAGAGCAAGCAGTAAGTAATTAAGTTGCTTATTACAAAATAGGCTTCGATGGCAGAATATGTTCGTAGATTACTTCACAGTCTTCTTTTGGGAGGTTTTTAAAGTTACCAAACTTTTCTCTTGTTTGATTCTGGAAGTATGTTTGGTAAACCGTCTTAATAGCAAAAGGAATACGAAAAAGTGTGTGTGTTTAAAGCGAATATTGAAATGAGAAGGGGTTATACGCTGAAACAAGATACATAAAAATTCTATTTTTACGGGGCGCTGAGTACTTCCTTTACTTCAGTATGCTAAGGTTAGGGTTACGTAATCATATTTATAAATATTCAAATATAAATATTATTTATAAATTAGAAACATGTTGAAGTCACTAAGATTATTTGAACTATTGTCGTTCTATTCAACTTTAATGGGTTCAAAAAATGTCGGAGACGTTATGAATAAAATACTTCATTGAATTGGCCTGAATTTGTCTACATATATACAATGCGATACAAATTTGTAAAAAGAATTCTTAGTGTTTTTAGGCACTCTTCATTTTTACTGTTTTCAATCATCTATTCCTCAGATGATGAAGTCCATATTCTATAACTTTTTCTCCTTCCTTTCTTTACAGAAAAGTTCCCTGATCCAGGCCAAATAGCTGGTTTAGTACGTTTCTCCTACCCAGACTGGAATCCTGTGACACGGATGACCACCAACCCACCTCCAGGGTTAGATGACTCCAAGCTAGCGTTCTCCGTAACCCAAACCCTCAAGTCCTGGTATATGAAGAAGGCAGAAGTAACTGAAGACCTCATAATGAGATATCCTAGCGTTACATCGCAAGTGCTCCTTCCATTTTTAATTTTTATAATAATATAAGTAAACCAGGGAAATGTAACACCATGACAAGCAATTACTTCTTAGATCATCATCACATCAACAGCCTATACTAGTCCACTGCTGGACATAGGCCTCTCCTTAGAAAGGAGGTTTTGGCCTACTATACCACGCTGGCCAGACGGGTTGGTATAGGGTTTGTTTCAAGTTTTCCTTCTCTTTGCAGTGCTGTTGTCCTGCTTAGTTCGCTCCCTTAGTCGGCTCTTACGACACCCACGGGATGAATTGGGGTGGTGACAATTTGTATTCTTAATCCGTCACCACACGGACGACTTAGATGACTGCGACCAAAGGGTGACGGATACAACGAGTTACCCGAGACCCACTTTGGGTGAGACGGGTCTTGTCACCCGTCCTATGCATGTCGGAGGTGGCGGAAGAATGCAGTTGCGATTCTCGCTCCCCTGACCATTGGCAAACAGATTAACACCAGGGTTTTTAATCAGTGAGAGTCCGCCAGACCGTTCTTCCCTCCCCCTAAGGAGGAGGATCTTATAGGCCGTCAACAAAAAGTCTTCGCGGTAAAGCAGCAAGCAACCCACTCAGCGCGTTCAATTTTACCACGCTATAGCTCAATTTCATGTTAACTTCAAGAGACGGCGCTTCGTCTTAATTACTGAATAGACGTGTCGAATTTTGCTGAGTGGCTCATGCCTTCATACGCTCTATATTCAGCAAGAAGCAGCAACTGCGTCTGGGAAAATATTAGAGCGTGCGCATTTGACATTTTTGGTCTTGGATCTTAAATTTGAACCTAGTCAAACACTCATCACTAAAAACGTCACCAATATTCCTCAAATTTTAATTTCAGACCTAAAGTTATACCACTTATTTTTGTACAACAAAATTTTTCCTTCAGCTTCGCTGGCTAAAAAAATTCCCATCCCTGAGGAACAGTATTTTCTTTCTGGATTTCAGGCTAATGTCAAAATTTCACGATGATAAGTTTAATACACTATGTTCTATTGTACATGGTACTATTGCAACCTTGCTTCCACAGACTATCAAGTTGCTTCCCTCGTCACATAACTCTACTGCGATCACAAACATTTGGAATAGTTATGTGTATACTAGTGTCTCTTAAATGTTGTTGTACGTTTCATGAACGAGAACATCTCACGTAATGAAACCATTCAATGCACATAATTCAATCTCCGTCGTAAAATGAACGTATATATAAATACCTACGAAAAGAATTACTCGGGCCCGTGGTCGGTGAGCAGGATTTATTTCCCTCAACTTTGGCCCGCACTTAATAACACAAGAATTAGTTTTTCTCCCAAAATGTCGATATGCCAACAGTAAATCAAGTCAAAGTTTTAGACACCTAACCTTCAAGAAAGTTATGGGTCGATCGCATAAACTAATAATGATTACTTTATACACCTAAAAAAGGGTTCCGTGTGTTCTATTAAAACGAAGAAACTTTTGAATTACCACTATTGTGTTTGTCTATCTATATCTTTTACTCTTGCCTGAAAGAACGCTTCCTTTGTCTATTTCACACAAGATTATTGAGAGAATGCAAATATTTGAAGCTGACATACCAATAATCTGGACGAATGTTTGTTTGTTTGTTTGCCCTTTCTTCTCATAAGGCTCAACCACTTGGAAACGGGCGGTTGTGGATCGGCACAGGCATATCATAGATTTTGTATGGGTTTGATTTTTGTTAAATTTATTTGGTTACTATTTGACAAAACAGAGATTGTTGCTTTTGTGTGTGTTGATCTATGACTTTAGAGTCTACATGGAAGACGATTTCAAACAATTTTGGAAATTGTATGAAATAAAGAAAGTTTGAGTTTGAGTTTGAGTTTGAGTTTGAGTTTGAATAATATAAACGTATGGAAAGCTCAAGAATATATAGACAGGCATTATTTTTGACGTTTATAATAAAGATCTTATCGTCTGATTCTTTTGAGTCTCTCAGTCTTTCTCAACTTTTGTGACTTAGACAATCATGATCAAATTTAGAAATGTATTGAATTTTATATGTAAACAAAAATATGTGCTGCTACACCTAAATCTGCACATTAAATAAGAGAGAAAAGAATATGTAAGAATGAATAACACGTTTCATTTAAATGGTTGTATACTCTCAATTTCATGGTTAATAAGTGTTCTTTTCTAATCCTAGATACATTGACATTACCTATACAAAATATTACGGCTCACATAAATTCTTAAGCCTCATTTAGGCTGACTTAAATTATGTCGTTCAATAACTATATCTTATGGTTTATTCAATCTCGAATCCACTTCATCCAAAAAGGATTCACGCTTGACCAATCTTTTACTTCGTTAAACTATCCACTTAGAAGACCGACATGTATGTATTGAAGTTGGAGACTTTTCAAGAATTGAAGAAGTTGGGTGACTTGATAAACGACGTCCTCCGAAGACTTCAATAATTTGTTTTGCTACGAGTTAGAATTTATCAGCTTAAACACATACGTAGATAGTTAACACACACTTACACATTATCGTAACAGTAATATCACAAAACATATTACGAGTATGTGAGCCAAACAATGCACAAAATGTAACGTTATTTTTAAATACAATATGTTCCACGTAACCTTTAGATAAATCAAAGTGATTTTTCTGAATCACGAGTAGCAGATGATAATGTACATATTTTAAAGGTATAACGCGCCTTTTTCAGTTTATGTAAAATAGATATAAATATTAGACGTATTAAACAAACCTAAACTTAAGTTTTGATTCATAAGTTTATGTTTGTGTAATGTTATAATTTCAATTTGAAAAGGAAAAGTGTAATAATTTTTTTTTTTTACCAGGACCCAGAATACTGGCTTCAGATTGTATTTGGAAATCGTCCACGGATCAGCAACACACATGGGCTGCGGCATGTCAGGATACAGCGAATTCGCTTTCTATCATAGCAAGCGATCAATGAATTACAATGTAAGTACACTTGATAAAATAAATTCTGACGTACATAAACAGTGGCAGTGGGCTGGCCATATTAGCCGCAGAACCGACAACCGTTGGGGAAAACGAGTTCTTGAGTATAGACTGTGTCTCGACAAAGGTAGTGTAGGATACCCACAGGCCGGGTTGAGTGACGATTTGCGCAAAATGGCTGGCAATGGAGCTGGATGCGAGATGCCCAAAATCGATCTAATTGGCGTGCAATGGGAGAGGCCTATGTGCGATAAGCTGAAGTCATCCGGACCCCTCCTATCGCCAGCCCGCTCCTGGTGCGGGCTCCGTCTCAATATTTTTTTTTTCCTCTCTTTAGGCGACGTCCGGCACACGCGGACGCCGCCCCCTCGCGGCTGGCCAAACTAATGCGGGTGGAGGGGAAACCCACCCCGTCCACCCACGAACACACTCAGGGCGGCATGAGGCGGTGATAGGCGGGCCTCCGCCGCCCGGTTCGCCGGCGGCGGATCGGGTCCGAGTGGAGGTCGTCCTCCCGGGCCCTCTCCGCCGCCTCCTTCCGCAAGATTACTACCTCGCAGAAGGTTGCGACCGCGGTAAAACAACTGTCGCTACCGGCCATGGAGCGTACTACGGCCGGTAGCGAGAGATCCACTCCGATGACTGCAGTGAGGGCCCGGCGCTGCGCCGCCCATGCGGGGCAGACCGCCAGCGTGTGCTGGGCCGAGTCCTCACTGCAGTCGCAGTGGTGGCAGGCGGGACTCAGTTCCCTCCTAGCGACCGAGTGCAGGTACTTTCCGAAGCAACCGTGCCCGGAAAGCACCTGCGTCAGCCGGAAGGAAAGGGTCCCGTGCTGCCGCCCTGCCCACTCGGCGATGACCGGCTGGAGAGCCTCCACGGCGGCGAAGCCAGCGCGTGGAGTCTCCAGCCGGAACGACCAACGAGCCATCGTGGCTCGGCGATCGGCTTCGCGACCACTCGCGCACATCCTCGGGCGGAGGGCGAAATCCGCTCTCCGCCCGGGAGTCAGCCACTCGCCGATAAACTTCGGCGAGCACTTCCGCCTCCAAATCCCACGGGGGAGTTCCGGCCAACGCGCATGCCACCTCAGCTGAAACGGTGCGGTAACCGCGTATGGCTCTGACCGCCATTACCCTCTGAGGGCGCCAGAGGCGTGCCCTATTCTGGGCGGTCAGAGCCGCCGCCCACACCGGTGCACCGTACAGTGCCATTGACCGGACAACCCCCGTGTACGTCTTGTCGTGGGACGCTGGGTCCACCCATATTGGGCAAAAGTCGCCCTAGGGCAGACGCAGCGCCGACCAGCTTTGGAGCAAGCTGTCGGAAGTGCTCGTCGAAGAGCCACCTCCCGTCGAGGATCAGGCCCAGATATTTCATCTGGGCCCGAACCGGTACGAGGACCGAGTTGACCACGATTGAGGCGCCAGGGGGTGGACCACGACGGGGCCCATGAAATAACAGGGCCTCCGTCTTATCTAGGGCCACCCGTAAGCCCAGCGCCTCAATGCGCCCGACCACCAGGGAGACTCCCCCTGTGGCCAGGCGCGCCGCCTCTTGGAAGTTTGCCCCCCGGGCTGTCACCAGGGTATCGTCTGCGTAACAGATTACACCCAGCCCGGGGGGGAAATCGGCGCGAAGTGCCCAGTCGTACCCTATGTTCCACAAGAGGGGTCCAAGAACAGACCCCTGTGGAACACCGCACGACATGGGCCAACACCTCAAATTACCTTCTCGGTCCTCGTACACGACGGTACGCTCCTCTAAGGAGACCAACCCTTTGGAAACTGTGTGTTAGCGCTTTCTAATATCATTAGACCCGTAAAACTTGTCCAAATTTCTATAAAATTAAATTCAGTTGGAGGAAACATTAGTCGGTGTTGCTGTGCGATGAAAGTTTTAGATTCTCCTTATAACCGTTTTGAAATATTCAGTTGCTTGTAGAACATTAAACGAGGGTTGTGTCTAATAGAAGAAGACTGGACTGATTGACGAGTCTTTTTATTTATTATTTTATTATTTAAAGACAACTCCCACACTAGGAGTATATCCAGTGTCGTGGGGGACTTTACAAACATACATGAAACGGATACAAAGAACATCCAGACTCAGAACAACAATTTGTGGATCACACAAAGTGTCGTCCCATGTGGGGATCGAACTCAGCGTAGTAGTAAGTGGCATGGCAACCGCTTTAAACACTATGCCATCCGTATAGTCGAGGTTGTTTAATTAATTTTTAATCTACACCGAAGCATTAATTATCTATATATATTTCTTGATGTGACTGATTCATCAACACAGAGCCTAAGAAAGAAAATTTGGAAATTTCTTCCTAAGGGGGTAAAGTAAAGGATGGACCGTTTTATAGAAATGAATGAATGAATGATTAGAACATTTTTAGTTGACTCTTTTTTGTAAAAAAAAAGTGCGAGGCGAGCCTTGGTACCAATTCATAAGTCATGTTCCCATAATATTCGTTATTCTATTGTAACGAAAATTAATTTTCAATAAAAAATAAAAGGACATAAAAAAAGATTCTGGTAGAGAACGATGTCTGCCTAAAACAAGAATGTTTGTATTGTTCCACAAAACTGTTATTAAACAATTCTGTTCCACAGTCAATCCAAGTGGTATGCAACTTCTCATCACGTCCAAAAGCTGGTGAAATGGCGTACTCGGTATTACCCAGCCGAGGTTCTTCTACATGTGGGTGTCCTGAGGGTTCACAAGAGGATTCTGATTGCCTTTGCAATGAAGTAACATCGCAACCACAAAACAGTAAGATTATTCATATCAAATTATCCAGTAATAGTATCTTGCTCATAGTGCATTGCTTATATTTATTACTCTAGATAACTTTTGTCCAGTTCTTGTTTTACTATTTTTTAAATTTAAATCAACCTTTTTATTGGGTAATTCAAATACTCCTGTAGAGCTTCTAAAGATACAGCAGCAGATACTTGGATTTGGATTATCTGTCCGTGTGATGATGGATACAGAATAGGGAGTGTACTCGTATACCTATAAGTATCATAAGAGCACACTACGCGGGACAACAACACGGGAAAGAGAAAAAACACTTGAAACAAAGCGTTGGTATACGGTAGTGTTTTTTCTCTTTCCAGTGTCTGGCCTGCCTGGTATAGTAGACAAAAACCTCCTTTCTGAGAAGAGGCCTCTGTCCAACAGGAACTGTTATAGGCTGTTGATGAATTTGGATACTGTTAATAAACTGCCTGTAAACATATTATTTTAGGAGTAGCATTTGATGCGGGAATCCAAGCAGAACCCGAATCGTGTCCCAACCCGGAGAACAACTGCGAGCCAACGCTGGTGCTTTTACCAATATTCACCGTGGAAGATGCACCACCTGAGAAACTCCTTGACCGAGCAGAAGATATTCGAGAACCTCTAAGCAGTTACATAGCAGACAGGTATTTTTAGTAGACTTTAAGAAGACCAAGATCCTCGTTTTGTTCTACTCGACTAGGGATGATGTAGTTAGTACAGACTTAACTTTTTGTTTTTGCTGGAGCTTAAGCTCTTGCAGCAGTTGAAGTAACTTGGATAGTGGATAGTTGGCGCTCCCCTAGTATGCGATTTTCGAGACACTTTTTGCCCCGCACAACCAATCTGTGGAAAGGGTTATCGTCTGCGATGTTTCCGGACCGATACGACCTTCAAACCTTCAAGAAAAGAGCGTACTCCTTCCTATAAGGCCGGCAACGCGTTTGTGACTCCTGAGCTGCAGACGTTCATATGAATCTATGGTCACTTTCAATCAGGTGACCCGTCTGCTCGTCTGCCTCCTCTAACTTAAAAAATAAAAAAAAAAGAAAAGAACATGGTGATTATATTAATTCAAGTAATACTAAATAATTAAAACTAGGGTGCCGCCGGTAAGATACCGTTTACCAACCTTTTTTATTAAGCTATTAGTGTAAAGTAGGAAAACTTGGTTCTTAAACAGATAAGAAGCAAATTTTCCTTACTCATTAGTCCTTACTAAATGCATCCATAGATCTAATAAGGAATAATAAAGACGCGAGAAGCCGAGGCCTCTTCGGCTTCTTGCGTCCAGCTCCAGAGATAATGATGATAAAAAAAAACTGCATACGACATTTATTTTTATTGCCGCCTATTTTACCCGTGCCAGGTCAAAACAGTCTGCAGCGCAGTACAAACGCCAACTGCTGACTGACTATTACCTAATCAGTTTTGGTAAACAATATTAGTAACCCCATTTGGTAACTGGTGATGATATATTTGTCTGCTGCAGGTTAAACAATAGATCAAACACCGTCCTATCACAAGCGGCAGATGAGGTGAACGAATTTTTCGACGAAGCAGCCAGGGATAGAGAGGTTTGTCTTTTTTTAACTTTAATGTAGCGAGTATTATCATAAACGCGTATCGTAACATCCATTCTTCACCCTTCAACATGGAAACTAATGACGTAAATTTGGTTAGCTTACACCCTGACATAGCAGGTTAAATTATTATTAAATAGACCTCCTGTTATGAAGAAAAAAGGCATGATTATTATGTAAAAATGTTGATCTTTTGTGCTTGGTTTAATTAATTATTAGACATATTTTTCTTGGATTATTCGGATTCAGTTGTCTATGTTCTTTTTAGTGTATGATCATGTCGGATTGCTCGAACTTCTGCTTTTCACGCTCGGAGTCACGACCGTTACAGCTATAAATATCTATATCTAATAAATTGTTATTACCGTTAAACTTACCGTTAAACCGTTACAGCTATAAATATCTATATCTAATAAATTGTTATTAGATATAGATATTTATAGCTGTAACGGTCGTGACTCCGAGCGTGAAAAGCAGAAGTTCGAGCAATCCGACATGATCATACACTAAAAAGAACATAGACAACTGAATCCAATTGAAGTTACCAATTTCATACTAATATACATTTTTCAAGCCCTACAAATTGTACTATAGGATTAAGCAATTGTTGCCAAACAATCACATTCACAGAATTATTTAATTGACCCACTTTGGAATTTTAACTTGGATCACTGATCTATCATTAACACCAACAGCCTATACTAGTCCACTGCTGGACATAGGCCTCTCCTTAGAAAGGAGGTTTTGGCCTACTATACCACGCTGGCCAGACGGGTTTGTTTCAAGTTTTCCTTCTCTTTGCAGTGCTGTTGTCCTGCTTAGTTTGCTCCCTTAGTCGGCTCTTACGACACCCACGGGATGAATTGGGGTGGTGACAATTTGTATATTTAATCCGTCACCACACGGACTAATCTATAGATCAATATTATATACCATACCATATACCAATCTATATACCAATATATGAAAAACTTATAACGTTATTAATTATTTTTCGGCCTCCGACCATGTGATGATCGGTGATTTCTGCCATACTCTTACTTCTTAGTCTAGTTAAGTTTATGAGTTGTGCATACGTCATTGTGATACCAAAATGTCGTTGTACTTTTTATTATTCTGTGTTCACAATTATCTACTTACAATCTTACTGAACGCTTGAAGTAAATAAAATAAATATAGTCCTATTAATTTTAAGCAGAAATGGCTTTCAAAAGAATATATATAAATATTATTATCATCAAAAGATTGTTCGTTTCAGTTTCAGCCACGAAGCATGACCAAGTCAAACGTTCGCCAGCCGTATCCTGCTATACCACATTCACTATCACGCACCTATCCAATCAATACTGCACTGGTTGTACCACAAACGAACCACCCCGGGTAATTATTGTGTCTTAATATACATTATAATGTAGTTTTGTAGTCTTGTCTTGTATATTGTGATGATTATTTGTGATATATGTTTTTAATCATCAAAACGACTGCAAGAATGGCGTAGTAGTGTAAATGGACACCTTGCCGCTTCCTACTGCGCTGAGAGTTGGGGGTTCGATCCTAACAAGACATCCCCAACAGTTCGTGTAATCCACAAAATTGTTATTCTGAGACTTGGTGTTATTTTTGTCAGTTTCATGGACGATTGTAAAGTCACTGTCATCCATCAGTTGTCATTTAAAAAAAATGTGCAAGTGTCATCTCTATTTGTAAAAAAATAATACAGATCGTTGCCTTTCACTGAGTGAGTGAGGTTACCGGAGCCCAAAACTCCCCTCCCGCTGACTCGAGCGGGAGTAGTTATATTAGAAAAAATGCGACACGAACTTAAATTTATGGGATAGGTCTTGACCTTATTAAGACCTATTTCTTAGAGTTCCTGGATTCACCGTGCGGGTGCCGGGTCCATCGCGTGATAGATGGGGTCAACACATGCGACTTCGATAGCGCCTGGGAATTCCGACGCAGGAGTAGATTTAGGGAGTACTCCTTGCGACGTGTCAGTTAGAAGTATGTCTGGTCTAGACGCCGAGGCACAGATATCCTCCGGTATTCTGTAATGATTTTCGTACGTGTCCACTAATAATGTCCAGTCACTGTCGATATTTGTCATTGAGAATGGCTTTTGTGAAGTCTTTTTTGTTAAGCCTTGCTTTACAAATATTTTTAAATAAACAATACCTAACAAAGATAGACCATGTCCATGTGGTGACGGATTAAGAATACGGAATGTCACCACCAATGTTCATCCCGTGGGTGTCGTAAGAGACGACTAAGGCTGCAAACGGCGCAGGACAACAGCACTGCAAAGAGAAGGAAAACTTGAAACAAACCCTATACTAACCCTATACCAGCGTGGTATAGTAGGCCAAAACCTCCTATCTTTCTAGGAGAGGCCTATGTCCAGCTGTGGACTGTTAAAGGCTGTTGATGATGAACAAAGATAGAGACTTTCTGTAGTCTGGTAGAACTAATGAAGAAATATATGTATATTTAAACATCAATCCTTTTCCAGTTACAATTCGCCAAATCCAGTATCAAGAAAGAGTTCAGTACCACGAAGGGCTTATCCATATAGTAGATCAGAACCAGGGCAAAGACGCAATTCTCCTAGACAACCTGCCGGGTACGGTGTCAAGGTAAATATTTGTTTCTAACAACTATACGAGTTTATTGATATTCATTTCATGGGCCTGTTTGTCTAGTAGTTAGCGACTCTGACTATTAAGCCGGAGGTCAAGTTCGATTCCCACCCAGGACAAAATTTGTGTGATCAGCACGATCATTTTGTTCTATTTCTGGGTGTAATTTGGTTATAATATGTATGTATTTAGAAATATATACGTATGTTTATAAGAAGGATGGTCAAAATAGTACAGGCTCTGCCTAGTTTGGAATCAGACTGAGAGTTTCTATATTCTATGATATAACAGCAATATCTTTAAATTAAGAATTTATATAAATGTTTGTTACAATAATATACTTTCAGAAATCAAGTATCTTCAATAGGGCTGCACAATTCAAGTTACCTAAAGGAGGGAAAAACTTTGGTTCATACGAGCCAATTAAATCTGATGTGAAGCCACGTAAAGACTTTAAAAACATACAAAGGGTCGTCAATGATTATATCAAACAAAGAAATAACAAATTTAGAAGAAATGAAGTTGTTACTAACAAGCACCAAGAAAATTTGAATAAAGTTACTTCAGGTACAACATTAAAAATAGAAGAAAATACGGAAACCATTTTGAATAATGTTGAGGAAAAAGTTATAAGCTTTGATCAATTTCGGCATAAAAATAATGTGAGCATTGAACATAATACTAAACATTTTGATGTAAACTATGAAGAAAGTGATAATAAACTAATGACTCTACTTGATACGCTAGAGCGAGAAGTAAAACATATAGAATTAGATGGTAATGATAAAGAGATTTTTGACGCGAAGATTAGAAAAATATATGATACAGTTGTGCACAAGCCTGCGAATTCATATTCTCCACTGCCAAACCCTAAGTCTTTACCCAAAAATAAAATGAAGTCTCTAGCGATGCTGTCCGATTTATATGAAACCGACTTTGGAGAGTCAAAAACATTTATCAAACAAGAATCAAATCATATTACTGACGATGAACACAGAATAAGACATGAGCTAGAACATTTATCTGAAGAAAATAGAAGTAATTATCATAAGCAAGGACTTCCAAAAATGGTAAATCGTGCTAGAGACTATGAATATTTGGATAATAAATTTGAAGAAAAAGGGGATAAAACTCACCTTAATCAAAAAGAGGATAGACATTCTGATGATATTAAATCTTTTTACGACAATGATATGCTGACTGATACCGATCACAAACTATTTGCTGATATAGAGAACAAATATAACGAGCGTTTAGCAGCTTTAACTAGTCGAAAGCTTGATGACGGAATGGATAGATTAGGAGGTAAATATGATGTCGTTGGCAGCCAAAAGTATCCTGATGTACCTTCTTCTAGAAATAGATATGATGTGGTCAAATATGAAAATCATAAACCTAGACCAAACTCAGATGAACTAAGGACACGTCGAGAATTTGAAAAATATCATGATAAAGAATCAATGGGTAAAGAATCCATACACAATGATATGAATAGGAAATATTATAGAAATAGTGAAGATGGCAGAAAACGTACTTTAGGTGATAGTAAAGATGGTAAAAGAAACCTTTGGGGCCATGAATTTGAGCAAAACGATCCGTTAAGCATGGAAAGAAAGAAATTTTACCAAGAGAAATTGGAAAACCTTGAGAGGCGGCTACATGATCGCTCTTTACGGCGTAAAAATTACGAAGATGTAAGTATTTTCTTGTATTTAATTATGAAATTTCAAGTCTTTTTACCTGTAATTTAAGTTGAATTCACATATTTGTTTACAGAGACCAAGTGAAAGAGCATTTCGACGGTTGAGGCCAAACGTCGGAAAGACGGATAGACAGAAATCGAAAACACAAGGAGATGCAATTTATATGCCAGACCGCGCTAGGTTTTTGCATGGCTTTTAATGTTAAAATCTAGACAACCTGTAAACAAACAACATCTTGATAAACAATTTTGGTGTATGCTTCTATGTATTTGTATTGAAACGTTTGCTAAAACTCAAGTTTCTAAGTGAGTATTTGTTAGTAAATAAAACAGATTTTTTATTTAAGTACAATGTTGAGTATTTCTAATGAATTCTTTAGCATTTAGGTATTTCAATTTGTAAGATAGTATTTAACTAGAGGTATGGTTTTGGTATATTCTAATGAATAAGTCGATTTCTTTAAAATAAATGGACAAAGTTAGTTTCTATTTACATGTGTGTATCATTTCTGTTTTGACGTTTCTCTGTGTCTATAGACTCTTATGGTTAAATGACATCAAGATAGCATGCATAATTATTTACTGAAAATGTTATTAAAAACATTCAAAGCAAAAAAAGTGTATTTTAATGTATGAGAGAAAAATTATATTGCCACAACAAGTATCTACGAAATCTTGAATGAACTAAACAATACCATGACGACAAAAAGTCGCTTTTCTTCTTGTAATGGAACAATAATGGCTAAATTAAAAAATAAAAAATAAATGGAAAAGTTGTTTTCACACATGTTACTCTTACAAATGGCAAAAAGCAAAAAAGAATCCATATAAAGTACGTTATCGGTAAAAATCAATAGAAAAACATTTTGTCAACATCATTCGTAACCAATTGGCTTGGCTCAACAGATTAAACATGAACGAATACAAGTGATTATAGCTCGTTCTTTCTATTTTTTTAAATGATGGCGACGGTTTTTAACTTGATTGTTGCTTTTGGTTTATTTATAGGCGTATTGATGGAGGAATCACAGTTAAAAGCGGTAGGTACATGTGAATAATAAATTGATTGTTTTAAGACTAGTACTTAGGTTTTACGTACTCGTAAAACATTCTGGGATAAATCTTAATATTGTTGACATTGAAAATATTAATGACGATAATTTTTGAGTTTCGCTTTCAGAGTTCGTTACTTTAGCAGTAAATTATTGTTATTTTTTGTAAATACCATGATAAAGTTCATATTTTTTAATATTGGCTTTGTTTATTTTTATCACTGTGATGATAGTATGACTATACTACTAGAGATGATAATAAGTACAAATATGAAAAGGGCTATCAAACTTTAAGTAATAATTATTTGTATTATGTTACTGTCTAGTTGGATTCAGAAGATGATGACGATACATTCATAAATCTCTTTATTGATGAAGAAATTCAAGGCAAAAATGAAAGGGTACGTATAACATTTAATGTTACAAATATTGTTAATGTCTTTATTTATATAACTGATAACTGATAAGCTAATCTACTACAGATAATTGTAAACAGTTTCTTACGTGCGAGTTTGTGCGAGACAGGTGATAAAATATTAGAGAGAATTCAACTTAAAAAGAAATCAACTTCACATGATAACGAAAATAAATAAGTTAGTAAGTGACGTAAATAAAAATTTCAATGGAATATCTATACCGTATTAAGATAAACATGAATCCTTGCAAACTGAACAAACGTCCAACATAAACTTGTGCGATGCAATAGATTCTGTTAAGAGGCAAAATAAGCCACAATACGACGACAATGGTAGAAGGAACATCCGTGTGGTGGCGAATTAAGAATACAGAGTCTAAGGGAGCAAACTACGCAAACATCAGCACTGCAAAGATAAGGAGAACTTGAAACAAACCCCATACTCACCCGTCTGGCCAGCGTGGCATAGGGCGTAAGGAGAAGCCTAAATCTAGCAGTGGACTGTTAAAGGCTGTTGATGATGATGATGATGGTAGAAGGTTAATTGGAGTCACTAAAACAGATAGGTTGAAAAGGTATACCGTATGGGAAATGTGACGTGATGTGTGTGTGAGCTTGCATCATCTCTTTCTCACTCTTTATCTGAATTTATTTCAGGTATGTGTAATGAGTTTCCTTCTTCCATTGTCCTTTATCACTCGACATCCTTAAATCCTGTATTTTCTTTAAAGCCCTCATTTCACTACAAAGTAGTTTAGTGGGTTTTTTCTTTTATGGCCTGATGCCTGTCTGAGGCCAACTTTCTTTGGGGATGTAATCATTATTCGTGCATAGTATCAAGCATAATTCAAAACGTAAACCACGTGCTCAGGTCAAGTTTGAAAAAAAAGTTTGAAAAATTGTAAAAGAATGTCAGTAGTCATGACAAATGACACTGTTAAAAGGCTTTAAATTACCTGTATTTACACGCTTTATGTTATATATTATTATACTCGTATATAATAACTTCACTTGTATGTTCGTATGTTTGTTTGTAACCGACTCCTTTGGGCGTGATTTTGACTTTCTTTAAACGGTCAGAATTCGTTCAAACTTTGAAGATATATTGAGGACCGATGACAATACACTAATTTACAAAAAAAAATAGTTTTAAAAACTAAAAAAACACGCTTTTTATAGAAAACCAAACTAAAAAATAGAAAATAAATATTAATAAATTTGAAAAAAGCGTGCGTGCTTTTACTATTGACAACAGGCACCCAACTTTTTTTTCAAATTTATTTATATAACTAAGTATATTTATAAAGAGGAAAGATTTAATTTTTTGTTTGTTTGTAATGGATAAGCTTCGAAATTACTGGACCGATTTAAAAAATTCTATTAACATAGGCTACGTTTAAAAAAAACCATAAAAAATACGATAATTTAAAGGTATAAAAAAAAAAGGTATAAAAAATTACAAAAAAATATTTGCTTTGCTTTGCTTTGCGTTTAATCAACTCACTTTCACATTTATAAGTATCTAAGTGTTGATTAATATATCCTGTAGTATAGTCTAATTTATTCTTAATAAGCTGAAGAAAGTTGAATAAAACTGAAGGGTTTGTTTGTTTGGTTGAACGCGCTAATCTCTGGAACTACTGGTCTGATTTGAAAAAGCTTTCAGTTGACCTTGAATATAGTTTTTAACACGGACGAGATCGATGGGGATTTTTCAGCATTCATTAATAATGGTGTTCCGAAAATTCGTACCAATTTTTAGCTCTATGCTAATTTTTGTAGCTTTTTCTAAATAATGTAATGTAATAATAAATAAATAAATAAATTTAGTGTAGAGAATTTATCACAGTAAAATATAACGCTCCGTAAGAAACCTTAACTATTCCGGTAATTGTTATACAAATCTTAATTAAAATCTACATACATACGCACTCGCGTAAGTCCCCAGAGCGATAGGCAGAAGCGTATTAAACTCCCACATTCTGACTGGGTATACAATTACTTGATATAGTTATCTACTATATAATTGTAGTACTGTCACAATAAGAAATTCTGGCTTGCTGTAATCACGTAATGTTACTCTTTAATATACATCTGAAAATCTGTTTAGTAACTTACGAGCAAATACGAGATAATTTATGAATTATTTTTACTAGCGATATCTTAATCCCCTGTTAATAAAATGTCTGCTAATTTTAATCTCCACAATAATTACATGGCTTTTATTTTTGCAGTATGCTCGAAACGTTCAAGCAATAACCGAGAGTGCTCTAGATCATCTAGTAAATGAAATAAGAAATGAATACTATAAGAATAACTATTATGCGAATAGTCCATTGCGAAAATATATACGTAAACTTAATGATGAAATGGTAAAGAAAAACCGCAACGAGCTTATTAATAATAAACGAAACAAGACGCTGGCGAATGAAAAGAAAACGCCAATTAAAAGAAAAGGGCGGAGAAAAATAAAAAGAGACTAAAAAATAAAAGAAAGAAATGTAATGGGAAATCAACTGATAAGAAGGAAAAGCCGTCTGCTTGAAATATCAATAAAATAAAATTTATTTATTTGTAACTAAAAATAACAAATTGCACAGTAGATTACGGTTGATAATATCTTCTGTTTCTAATAAAACATGCATTAGCTATATTTATGTAATATATATTATATTAAAATGTTACACTGGTTTTTGCACGCTTCCATAACTCACAAAGTTCTACACCGATTGAGCTTAAATTTTGACACGATAGTCAACCCGCTTAAAATAATGTTTTTATCTTTTTTTCTCATTTCTTATCAATGTAACCACAATATGGCACAGCGAATCGTGGCAATGTTTAGCTAGTAATATATAATAGGTCTTTACCTATGAAATTGCCGTTTTGTATGCAATAAGTGAAAGTACTTATTTTTTCAAACTTTTTTATTTCTGTTATTCGAAGTAATCATCCATGCAATCGACGCATCTTTGCCAATGCATTGGCAGTTTATTGATATTGCCCTTCTTGTAAAAATCAGCTAGACGGGAGGCAACAAACTCTTCAAAGGCATTTTGTACTGCCTCTCGGGAATTGAATTTTTTACCCACTAAAAAGTTGGCTAAATTTTGCAAAAAGTAATAGTCGGTAGGTGCAAGGTCTTTAATTTAGCACGTTTTATGAATACCCCTCTGAGTTACTCCTTTGGGGATAAAAGACGTGAGTATATATACAGTATATATACATAATAATATGTAGATGTAAGTATCACTAAGAATACTTTTGTTATAATAAATAATATGTTGTATTACCGTATGGTTTTAATCTATATCTATAAAAGAATAAACTGACAGACTAATACACTGCCTGGTCGATCAACGCACAGCAGAAATCGCTGGCTTTAAAAGCATGAAATTTTGCTTAAATGTTCCTTAGGTGACGTAGGTGAGCACTAAGAAAGTATTTCAAAAAATTCCACCCCTAAGGGCGATAAATGGGGGTTTGGAAATTTATATGAAACTTCGTTATTTTTTTGTAGTTCTTCGATGTTTGATATAGACCACTACTCTCCCAATGTCGTAAAAGCTAGTATGTCATAAATTTCTTTTAAAATTCTCAAATACTCTTCCAATAACAAACTCCAAAGTTTTCTACAAACACCGTGTCTGGCGCCGGTAACCGCATATTATCACGTTGTAAAATTGTTTTATTACATCATTAGCTCGTCATAGATAAACTTTTAATTTTTTATTATCGATGTGAAAGGACCTGCCTTTATATTCTTCAGACAATAAGTGTTTAGTTGATTTTTCAATTTAGGTATCAAAATCTAATTTTTTTTTTCATTTCGTTTATTTTTCATGATACACTCATCTATAGTAATATTTTAAAGCTCATAAGTTTGTTTGTTTACTTGCTTGAATCCACTAAACTCAGGAATTATTGGTTCGAATTAAACATTTATTTTAATGTTGCATAGAATATATATAACATCACGCTAAAGTTAATAGGAGCCAAGTATTCATGATAAAGGTTGCAAAAACAGGGAAAAAGTATTCCTTTTAAGAGGCGCAGATAAAGTTATATATATATTTAAGTTAGTATATATATTTAAGTGACAAGGAAATGTTATGTACAAAGGCGAGCTTAACCCAAATCTGAGTTTTCTTCCAGAGTGACGGTTGACGGCGGTCTCTTCACCTCTGCCTACCGCACTGAGTGTTGTGGCTTTGATCCCCACGTAGGACAACCCTTTGTGTGATCCACAAATTGTCGATCTGACTCTAGGTGTTATTTGTGTCCGTTACATGTTTGTTTGTAAAGTTCCCGCAATTGATATATTCCTAATTTGGGTGTTTTCTTTTAATAAAAACAAAAAGGGGGAATAGAGGATATTATCAGTAAGGGCAAAGTCATGTTTACTTAGAAATAAGCAGTAAAGAATGATATACCTACTGGTAAGTCAAACAAATGTAAAACCGACTGTAAAAAACCAAGGATAATACAAAACACCACAGTAAACAAATGCAGTAATGGAACCCATAAAAGAGAGACGAGAGAATAGACAGTAATAATAATAATAATATATATAATATGTACATATATAAAATAAATAAAAAGAATAATAATATTTCGGACATCTGAGACACAACGTTATCTAATTTCAAACTAAGCAGAGCTTGTACTATGAAAGCTAGATTGACTGGTAGAATACTTGTATACTTTTTTTGTAAATACATAGAGACTTCCCAAGGAGACACTTATGTCCAGCAGTGGACTATTAAAAGCTGTCAATGTGTTGTGTGATGTGACATAGATATTTTACATAGAAAAAATAAAAAACTTGGAAACAAATATTTGCAATTCATACAGACATTTGGTCCGACCCGGGAATCGAACCCAAAACCTTAACGCATACGCTACCACTGCACCACCGATGCAGTTCCGTCCCAATATTGTAATAGTAGACTAGAATAAAAAATATTACCCACTTTTACAGTCCATCTGGTGATGGGTTAGGAATACGGAGTGTCACCACACGGATATTTGACTCTACACACATCACATCATCATCAACAGCCCTTAATAGTCTACTGCTGGACATAGACCTCTCCTAAGAAAGGAGTTTTTGGCCTATTATACCACGCTGGCCAGACGGGTTGGTATAGGGTTTGTGTCAAGTTTTCCTTCTTTTTGCAGTGCTGGTGTCCTGCGTTGTTTTGCGCCCTTAGTCGGCTCATACGACACCCACGGGATGAATTGGGGTAGTGATTAATACATTAATACTGAATTAAATTGGCCCTTCCCTAAAAACGTGAGGGCATTAACCAAATAAGGATAAATCCGATAAAATTTTTATTAAATGCATGTTAGTAAACGGTCAGATTTCAAGGACCCACCACTGTGTTTTCAAGACACTTTTAGCCTCGCACAGCTAATCTGTGAAACAACTTATCGTCTGCGGTATTTCCAGACCGATACGACCTTCAAACCTTCAAGAAAAGAGCGTACTGTTTCCTAAAAGGTGTCAAGTTTTCCTTCTCTTTGCGTGACTTTGACTCTACGCCATAAAATAACTTTGAAAATAATCATCATCATCATCATCAACAGCCTATACTAGTCCACTGCTGGATATAGGCCTCTCCTTAGAAAGGAGGTTTTGGCCTACTATACCACGCTGGCCAGACGAAAATAATACACGGTAATTACTCGTTCATTTTAATATGTACAATTATGTCAACTGGTTTTCCTCTATTTTTGTTTTCGGATGATACGTTGTGATCAGAAACGTTAGGTTTTGGTTGATCAATGTTGTTTCTACGTGCTAGATTGTTCGATTTTCTCTTAGGATGCTGTTTCTTCTGTTGTTGCTTTTTCATCTCTTTTTTACTTTTGCCTTGTCTCAATCTTTTTGGTTTTAGCTTGTGATTTTTCTTTTTCGTTTTTCTTATTTTCTTTTTTCTTATAGGCCTGGGTACCGCAGTAGTTTCAGAATGGAGATATACACTACTTACTTCCTGAAAAAAAGGAAAACCTGCTTATTTGTTATTCACAAATAAATATTTACGAACATATCTATTGTTACTCTATGAAAAAAAAAGATTATTGCCGTGACAACAATAGTATCGATTTTAAGTGTCTTTTTTATAAAAGATAATTACCGCACTAGGAATATATTCTATATCGCGGGGGACTAAACAGATACTCATGAAACGGACATAAAGAAAACCCAGACTTAGAACAAGAATTTGTTGATCATACATCCCATGTGGGAATCGAACCCACAAGACAGTAGGAAGTGGCATGGTGACTGCTTAAGCCACAACGCTATCCGTGGTGTCATAACTACATTATGGTTTACTAAAGAACCAGCCAGAGCTGGATGAAGAGTTGTTTATACATATTTAAATAATTAGATAATTTTCGTGAACAATTATTTAAGTCTAAACATGTGCGTAAAGTAAACTTAGTTGAATTGTGTTGTAAATCAAAACAAAATAAAAACTCAAGATAAATAAAGAAAATAATTCTGGATCTCTTGTGAAAATACATTTTGTGGCCACTTTTTTCACTTACTCTTTCTCCAGGTATATTTTTATCATTCACTTCAATTTGAGGCAGTATATTTTCTTGTAGCTCTCGACTTTTAAACAGATCGTAGTAAGCCTTCTTTTCTTCGTTGTGTGCATCAATGACATCTTCATTTTTAATAGAATCTGGCTGATCTTCCCAAGCTGTAGCTCTGACCTCTTGGAATGGATCACGAACCACGTCCTAAAATATTTAGATGTTCTATTTTCTAAAGATATAACACCTAAATATTTTTAATCAAAACATTTCTGTCTTATTCATTGCAGAAGAGAATGGAACAGATTAAAATTTGTTCTTAACGTAATAAGTTTTTCAACAAAATTTAACGTAGCTGATTGTTCAACAAAACGTGTAATCGAAAGCATGAAAAATTCGTTATCATGGACACGCTATCCGTGCTGTCATGAACGTGAACAAGAATCGCAATTTTGGGAATGTACTCACTACAAATCTGTGTTTTTTATGCTTATAAAGATTAATTGACTCAAGTACTAAAGCCCAAAGACCATACACAGCAAAGAAAGTTTACAGAATGATAGATTATTGAACATCAACAAGTGGAAACATTTTTCAGCAATGAAATACATTTTCACTTTGTTGGAGCTGTTAATTGTCAAAATTGACACCTTTTGGGTTCAAAGAACTTCCATATGATTCCATATGAATTTGGACTACAGGCCTCATTATTAATGTTACTAGTGCTCCATATTATGGCATGATAATACAGTTTTTTGCCTGCATTGCATGTTGGTTGGTTTTAAGAAGATGGACGTGCCACGTGCCATACACCCCGTGAATTCAATCCATTCAATTATTACAGAAGCCATTTTATCTTCGTGTGCTCTCTCAATGCGACAATCAAAATTAGCCTCCCAGATCGTTATGATTTAATAACATTGTTTTTTATGAGGTTATTTAAAGTTCAAAATATATCAACAAATCTCTAACCACACGTGCATTGAAAGAGGAAATTCAATAGTGCATCAAAAAAGTTCAACCATATTTATTCAAAATAGTCATGAAAACTTTGGCAAAAGAACAAGTCAGAAATGTTAGAAAAATTGTGGATATACATTAACTATGTACTTTACATCTCCATAAAAAAATAACGAACTAAACACAACAAAAACACTATCTTGTGTAAGTAAAATCATAACTTAATAATCATAAATTTTGAGACACCATTTACTAGTTGGACTCAACTTAAGGAAATACTTTAATTTAATTTAATTTACTTAGTAGAATTGTCCGTGTGGTGACGGATTAAGAATACGGAGTGTCACCACCCCTATTCATCCCCTGGGTGTCGTAAAAGCCGACTAAGGGAACAAACTACGCAGGCAAACAGCACTGCAAAGAGATGGTAAACTTGACACAAACCCTATACCAACCCGTCTGGCCAGCATGGTATAGTAGGCCAAAACCTCCTTTCTAAGGAGAGGCCTATATCCAGCAGTGGATTATTAAAGGCTGTTGATGTGATGTGTGATGAATTGCCTTGTATACCAAAAAAATGGAATATTTTTGCATTAAAATAAAAACAAAGAGAGAGAGAGAGAGAAAGAGTTCCTAATAGCGATAATCTGAATATTCTGTATCTCTTTTCTACGTCCATGTATTAATGAAAAAAACTCAAGATAAATAATTCCGGATCTCTTGTGATAATACTTTTTGTGGCCACTTGTTTCACTTACTCTTTCTCCAGGTATGCTTTCATCATGCTCTTTAATTTGAGGCATTAAATGTTCTTGTAGTTCTGGACTATTAAACAAATTGTAAGTCTTCCTCGCTTCGTTATCTTTATCATTAACGTCTTCAGTATTTATACTAGGATCTGGCTTAATTTCCCAAGCTGTAGCTCTGACGTCTTGGAATACATCATGCATCACACCCTAAAAAGTATTTAGATGTTCTGTTCTTGGATGATAAACACCTAAATATTTTTCAATTAAAATATGTAGTTGTATACTTTGAAGAACAGATTGGATTTTTTTTAAAATTTTGCTCTTTATAAAGCAAACATTTTATGATATTTCCTATGCAAATAAACGTAGTTGATCGTTCAACAAAACGTGTAACTCAATGAGCCTGTAGCCTGGACTCTATTCAACTTACATTTTCTTTAGTGATGCCACTGTCACTGCTGTCAACTACAGCCTCTTCTAAATTATTGTCTGTAAACTGTTCAATATCTTCTATTACTTTTAGTAGTAATATCATGTCGAACTCAACCACACTATTCAATCTATTTACAATTTTTTTGATAATCATAACATTCACACCACCAACAAAGTCACTGTTTAATTTTTTGTGCTGTGGTAGTTTAGAATTTTGTAACAGAAGAGCTCATTGAAAATTTCGTTATTAGAAATAACTTATCGTTTTAGTAACGATTTTTATGAAACAATTTCACAGTGATATTAGGTAACCACATTGATGCTTTTGCACTTAAAAATGCAACCTGAAAGTCATCAATTTAATTACCGATAGTATTAAAAAAAATCCAAAATTACATTTAGTTTTTTCTCTAGACTGTTGAACCAGTTGGCGACTTCTGGCGGGTGTTCTCTTGCAGCTGCCACCTGTAACACATTGTTATGCTTAGAAGTGTTATTCACCTGATGTTCTTCTAGCATCAAATAAATCCCTGTAAAAAACCCGGGCTGTATTTGATGCTAGACAAAGTTAGACATTATTATAAGTTTAATCAGACGAACGACTCATTAAATTGAACTATTTCTAACCATTTTCAACTACTAGAACATGACAAAAAGCTTGAAATTTAAGTACAAACTTACACTAATTAATAAATGAAAGGTGATGTAGACTAGATTCATCACTTAAGTGTTTTACAATAAAATTTATCAATATTTAGTTAAAGTGTAGTTGCGTAGTTTCGGGTCCGACAAGATTCAAAATCCACATGTTGGCAGGCTCGTAGGCCAAGTTCTTTTTTTAAATATTTTTATTTAGATTAGACGAAAAAAAATATATTTTACTACACTTTTAACACCTTACCTCTTTGATAAACTGTTGTTGTATTATTAAAATGGTAAAAACAAATGCTTGACACAAAACTATGTAGAGATTCATTTTCAAAAGCAACCGTGCGTTTGACGGTGAATATTAAAACTGACTTAACGATGTTTTGTTGCTCACGTATTACGGTTTCCTGTTTGTTTTCGAATCAAAATGCACTCGTTTTCAAGCACGTTTTTATAGTGGTCGATAAGAGGTAAAATAAGGTGACATCTTGCGAAATGCTACTGCGCTGTATTAAGTGCATAATCCGGAACGTTTAGTCGTTTTGTTAATAAACACAAATCAAAACGATAACACAAAATAGTTGAAACCATTCTTAAAATAAAAATGAATAGGGTAATAGGGCAGTTAAACAAAAGCTTTTAAATTATTCAAATAGAACCGCTATAGATTATTTGAAACACAACATATTCATACAGATATATAAAACAGTTTATGTAACTCAAACTCAAACTTTCTTTATTTCATAAAATTTCCAAAATTGTTTGAAATTGTCTTCCATTTAGACTCTAAAGTCATAGATCAACACACACAAAAGCAACAATCTCTGTTTTGTCAAATAGTAAGCAAATAAATTTAACAAAAATCAAACCCATACAAAATCTATGATATGCCTGTGCCGATCTTCAACCGCCCGTTTCCAAGGGGTTGAGCCTTATGAGAAGAAAGGGCAAACAAACTCATGGCCACTCTTTTGCAATTCACAGGTAGATACAATGGCACTATTAAATATACCACAACATTGTTTTGATGTGTGCTAGTAGGTCCGTTATTAAGGACTAAAAGGTAGAAAGACAGTGAAGAGAAAACAAGATTAAGAAAAAAACAAAAACGAATACAAGAGACAATGAAGTGAAACATAAAAAATAGAAAAAATATTAATAAAAAACACACTAGCCACACCACATTTTTACTTAAGAAAGAAATAGCCTGCGCTAATTAATCCCAAGCATTCTTGTCCTCCATGTAATCCACAATCGAGTAGTAGGCCCTCTGGCTCAAGCCACGTTTTATTGCGGATTTAATTTTGTTAATACTTAACTCTTGAATATTATTTGGGATTTTATTATAAAATCGGACACATTGACCTCGAAAAGACTTGTTTATCTTTTGGAACCTAGAGGCGGGTACTACAAGTTTATTTTTATTTCTGGTATTTATGGCATGTACATCACTTTTTTTCAAAAAGCTATCTTTGTTTTTATGAACATATATTACGAGTACATTTTCATAAATATATTGACTTGCCACTGTCATTATAATTATTTCTTTAAATTTCTGCCTCAATGAACAACGATTGCCTAACTGACACTTCTTCTAGACATACAACTTAAACCGGGATGAACTCTTGTTTAAATCGGAATAAATATTCTATTACACATGATGATAATAAAGTTAGAATGCAGGAAAGTGATGTCTGTGAGGACACAATGAAAATACGTGTTATTTTGGTTAGAGTCCTAAATACATTCTGACTGTGTTATTCTCACAGACTATATATTCTGACAGTATATTATATTGAATTGAGTTGCCTGACCTTTGGACTGGGCCAATTCTCGTAAAAAAAGTTCGGTCTCAATTCAGTTCCGATCAACTCTCGAACTCATAACTGTCATAAAAGGAATTTTCGTAGTAAAGTACATCCAACCTTGACTGTAATGTGATTATATCGTATTGTAACCGAAAATTGAATCGGTAATCTGCTAGTCTTAGTAACACTATACTATTTTACTATGAGAATACCTTTTATGACAGAACTGAATTGAGACCGAACTTTTATTACGTGAATTGGCCTTTAGGTTGCACTAACCATGGTCACAGGCTACCGTAATCGCATCCCATGATGCATAATTATATATTTTGGAATTCGATGTTTTCAACGTTATGATATATAATTCTTATCGATATGAGGTGTACAGAATGTGGCATACCACTTGCTCAGTTTTTTTGCCAGTTATATGCGTGATCGGCAGCAGTATGTAGAATACGCAGGACAAGTCTCAGAACCATATTTTACGCGATCTGGCGTGAGTCTGGGCAGTAACCTTGGGTCATTATTGTTTATAATTATGATAAATGACCTGATAGAAGTAGTTCAAGACGCCAAGTGCTTACAGTTTGCTGATGATCTTAAGCTCTCTTTTACTGTAAAAAGCGTGGATGAATGTACAAGGTTGCAAAGGGGAATATATATGTCCCTTTGCAGTGGTTAGTGGATTGGAGTAGAGATAACCTCCTACAATTTAACACCTCAAAATGCGTAATAATTAGTTTCTCTCGCGCGCACACCCCTGTGTTACATAATTATAATATAGACGGAACGCCGCTCACACGGTTCACGGAAGTTAGGGGCCTAGGGATAAATTTTACCACTGCGCTAACGTTTCGCAGTCACATCACTAATATTTGTAACAAAGCATACAGGCATTTAGGTTTTATCCTTCGCACGGTCCAACATTTTACCAATATTAGCGCGGTTAGAACCCTGTATAATGCTCTGGTAAGAAGTCAATGTAACACAGTTATCTGGGCTCCTCATGAATCTAAGTATAGGCTCATGGTGGAGCGGGTACAATAGAAATTGTTGTGATATCTGTATATGCGTCAGTATGGTGTATAACCATTCTACCCATTAATGTACCCAACTTTATTCATATTGGGAATGGTAGGATACAACACTCTGAGTCCGAGAAGGGAACTCGCACTCACCACATATATCTTCAAAGTAATTAGGGGAAAAGTTCATAATGCTAATATATTAGGACAGGTGTACTTTTAAGTGCCAGACAGGTATGTGTGGCGACGGCGACAACCGAGGTTTCTGGCGGTGCCGAGCGCCCGTACCAATCTCTTAAGCCAGGCGCCACTGACGCGCGCCCTTCACACTTTAAACCTTATAGCCAGCGAGATGAACATATTCTGTTGTACTCCGAGTGAATTCGTAAGAGTAGCGTAGAATGTTATTTGTTATAATATGAACCTGAAATAAGACAGGCCTGTCGGTATGGTGGGCCGGGGGTTGGGGTTCGAATTCCGCCCGGGACGAGTAGTTGAGTGAAAAGCGGGTTAGTAGGTGCTGTGTCTGGGAGTGGTTTGTCAGTGGTGTGTGTTTGGAAGTATATGAGTGTGTTTGTCGGTCCGGCTGCCATGATGCGGACGGGATGAGTAAGGTTGTTAAAATTGTTACTGTTATATGTATTATTTATTTCTATACATGTTTTAATCAACGAATGGCTACACTATTATTAGTATAAATGTAATATATAGTATAAATGTATTAGGTACAAATTATAAATAAATAAAATATTGCCTAATATAATTTTGGGTAATATTTAAATTGTATCCTCATAAGAATTTAAGTATTTTATTTTACAAAAACCAGTAAGTGTTTTCTGATCTATACTTATAGTATAAATGTGATATGTGATGGGTTTGTTAGTTTGTTGTGTGGTACTATCAGCGAGTAACAGCCTAGTTTTTACCGCGATAACAGACAATCACACGAGTGGAGAAACGGGCAAAGGCTAGTAATCTTATGAATTGAATTCTCTACACAAAAAATTATGCAAAGTGAAATCGACGTTGCATAGTTCGGAGCCATTGTAGCGCAAACAAATCTGCGTAGTACAAACCCCTGTCAGAAACAGACCTGTTATTTACAGCATTACGCGAATAAGTGTACCTCTTCGTATAGTGAGAACAATTGCGAATAAATTATCATTTGCATTTTTCTGTTATATGATGACCATTAGGTTTTTTTTATTGCATGGGAGAAAACTACAAAGAGAAGGAAAACTTGTAACAAACCTTATACCAACCCGTCTGGCCAGCGTAATGTAGTCGGCCAAAACCTCCTTCCTAAGAAGAGGCCTATGTATAGCAGTGGACTAGTAAAGGCTGTTGATGTGATGATGTGTAAAAGAAGTAGTTGATAAAAAGAGAAGGCAATAAATATAGATTGTTTAGCATAAATATTCAGGGTCTTAAAAGTCCGCTGTTGCAAGAAAGTCTAGAATCTTCTTAATGTCTTTAAAATTCTTGTTAATCTCTTCTATGAGTCTGTTCACATCGATAGTGCAGCGAAGGACCTGTTGGCCTAGTTATGTTTTTTTTTTTTTTTTTTTAAAAGACAACTCCCGCATTAGGAATATATCCTGTGTCGCGGGGGACTTTACAAA